CAGAAACATATGGCAAAAAATTGCCAGACACCATCAAAGAAGCAAAAAATCTGTAATTTCATGTGTTTTGTTGCATATTTATTACCCAAGAACTTTTTTTCGAGACATACATTAGTATACATGTCATTTTATTTCATTTGAATCCTAAAAATAGCATGAGATGAACATAAACAAACAACATGCAAAAATACCTTTCAAAATGTTCGTTTACAGTGAAAAATAAAACCATTGTTTATATCAACCAACATTCTGATACGGTTTCAATCAAATGACTTTTTGTTTATGCTCTGTTGAAAAAGGCGTAATAAGTGAATTTATTGATTTAAGCAAAGAAATGTGTCGCATTAAATATTATGATGCGATGAAAGGCGTTCATTTCTTTTTGAAATGCTGAAACTCGTTGCATATAACATGATCTCATTCCATATTTGTTTGAATAAAGTCGTCACATATTTACAGAAGTAATTCTGTGTTGTATTTGGTAATAAATGGGCTCATCGAAAAAAACTGCGAATGTACAAAAAAGTGCTCAAATCAAACCCCTTATATATTGAATGCTCTTACGTTGTTTATTTTCGTTTTTGCCGATTTGAATTTTGCGAACCACTGTTTTGGTGTTTAAATGATTTCAGCTCCGAACAATCGTCAAACGGATGTTTTATGAGTCATCATTTAATCGTAATGAACATCTTACTGTTGCCTTTTTCTATTTCTTTTTCCCTTTTATTTTTCTTTGCTGAACGAATCCATTGTAAAATAAATGCTGCGATTTAATTTTCTCTTCTGGTTTTGTCCAGATACTTTGATGCCATGTCATTTGTTTATATGTAAAAATTCGTATTGTTTCAAATGCTGCTATGGTCATCATTCTAAAACATTCTAAAAGAGTTCATATGAAGATGTGATGTGTGATGTTGTTCCACTGCAACAGCATTGAAGGACTGACTGAAAAGAGCATTGATTCAAGAATGATGTTGTTTATATTTCATCAAAAAATGCTATTGTCATCCTTTCTTCTGCCGAGAATCTTGTTGAAATTCTTCACCGTTATGTTCTGCCATTGAAAAATGTATTAGTGTGTCATTTGCTGTCGAAATGCATTCCTTCTAATGAGAGAATCGATCATTCTTGCTTGATATCAGCTGGGAAAAACACCTTCTCAACTTAAGATAAATTTTTGTTTTCGTTAGAAGTATAAAGTATTCATGATGATTACATCCCATCGAACTTCAATTCTCAGCCCAAAATACTGGCACGATTTGCGCAAAGAAGCAATGGACATCTATCGAAACGACAAAGCCGAAGAAAATGGTGCTACCCAAACTATTTTGATTCGTTGCAATTACATCACGGAAAACATGACAAATGGACACCAAAATGGATCTCAACGCCAGCGAGATGATCGCATCCCTTTGCCGAAGAAGAAAAAGAAGAACTTCGATCATACGCAAACCAAGGTCGATCGGGCAACTCGTCGTACAATGCGTTGCTTAACAGAGTACACATTGAATTGATACCCAAAACCGTAAGTTTCTTATTGCATACATTTTCGAAACGGTCCATTGCATTTCACATCCAATTTCATTGTGATCGTTTGTTTTGTGTCTTTATAGTGATTTCGCGCTACAACAACTTGATGGCAATGACGAGAAAGTATTAAAACTCAACTCGAAAGGGAAACTCGAAAAGTGTGTCATTAAAATACTTGCATAAATAAAAAGATTCTTGATCAGAATTCAGTTCAAGCTCAGTATCAATGGCATTTTCAATTCAAAACAATTTTCTCGTGTAGATTTCACAGTTGCCTGCAAAGTGTGTACATATGTGGAGGTGCATTGTAAGTAAATTGACCATTCAAGCGGAATTCTAAAACTCAAAATTAATATTTTCAAAAAAAAAGTGAAATAGTTTGAAGCATTGTAAAAGGTAACATATGAAAAAAATGTCGACTGTTCGTCAGATAGTCAAGTTTATCGTTATACTTTTTTGGTTTTTGTTTCTTTTTTTTCTGTTTCTTATTCGGAAGTCACGTATCGAATGTCGTTAGCAATAAGGTAAACAAAAAAGTCATTTCATTATGGCTCATGTTCGCATCGGAAAATTGTCATTGATTTACGTGAATTTATCAAATAAATAACCGTGTTTGGCTTTCTTCTTTGATTTCCTTTTGATTATTGAACGATTTGTCTGCCATTTGTATATAATTCGATTTAAAATAATTGATAAACGCATGTCAAGCACAATTGATAGAATAAGTGTCATTTTAAATGTTCATGACTCAATCGATGTACACAAATTCGATTTTTTGATAAAAACAAGAATGCTGACTTTATAAAATGGGTATTAATGAAAATTGACACCGAATGTTAATGAAATTGAGAGTGCAAAGAAAATATGTAACATAATCCGAAATACTGAATTTACAGAAAACTAAAGACAAAATTTTACGTGAAAAAATACATTTTTCAAGAAAAAAAGAGAATCATTTTCGACCGTATAAAAGGGAGTGCGCAAATTGAATTCATCACGAGATCTCTCATCGAAACCATAAACGATGGAATCACAACAAAACAAGGACGCCAAAATGGCCGATCGTAAGTATATATTTTTTTAAAGGCTTTTGGTAATTTCCGTTGTTTCAGCGTCGAACAATTTAAAATTGATTGACCCTTTTATAATAATACGTAGGTTGCTCCATAATTTTTTTTAAAATGGTACTTATAGTGTTGCCCGATGTAAACCATTGTCATATTCGTAAAGTTTGATGTTTTGGTATGTATTCGTGCCCTGAACCTTTTGTCGTACGAACGCTATTTGTATTGTTTACAGTGACTGGTAAACTGCGACTCAACAAAAAAATGAATTTTACACGTGAAGATTTTCGTAAAATGATTTACTACGATTTTCGAAGTAAATTATCTCAACAACAGTGTTTCGATCGACTTCATTTGGCCTTTGGCAATGAAGCACCAACCCTTCAGACAATTTATAACTGGTACCGAGAATTCCGTTGCGGTCGTAGTTCGCTCAAAGACGAGTTTCATACAGGTCGTCCAAAATCGGCTGTTGTGCCACAAAACATCGATGCTGTCAGAAAACTGATTATGGAAGATCGTCATGTGACCTACCGTGAGATTGAGGCATCTTTGGGCATTTCATCCCACAGCATACATACAATTTTGCATGAACATTTAGCCGTAAAAAAGATTTGCTCTCGTTGGATCCCACATAAATTGACCGATGAACAAAAAATGGCTCGTGTGAGTTGGTGTAAAGAAATGCTCAAGAAATTCAATCGTGGTGCTTCAAAAGACGTTAATAAAATCGTCACTGGTGACGAATCGTGGATATATGCCTATGAGCCCGAAACGAAACAGCAGTCTGACTGTATGGGTCTTCCAAAATGAAGATAACCCAACGAAAGTTGTTCGAGCAAGAAGCACTTCGAAGCGAATGGTCGCCTGTTTTTTCGGGAGAAGTGGTCATGTGGCAACCGTTCCACTAGAGGATCGTAAGACCGTCAATTCTGATTGGTATACCACCATTTGTTTGCCCGAAGTGTTTGGTGAAATAAGAAAAAACAACCACCGTCGCAAAATAATTCTTCATCACGATAATGCGAGCTCTCACACATCTTTTCAAACTACTCGATTTTTGACCGGTCAAAACATCGAACTGATGGGTCATCCACCGTACAGTCCTGACCTGGCACCCAATGACTTTTTTTTGTTCCCAAGCGTGAAGAAAAAACTACGTGGTCAACGATTTTCGACACCAGAAGAAGCAGTTGAAGCGTTCAAAACACACGTTTTGGAGATATCAGTTTCGGAGTGGCACGAATGCTATGACAAATGGTTTCATCGAATGCAAAAGTGTATCGATCATCTCGGGGAATATTTTGAAAAACAATAAAACCATTTTCGACAAAAAACAACTGTGTTATATATGTTTTTAAAAAAAATTATGGAGCAACCCTCGTATCATTTATTTTTTCTTAGACGTGAAAGCCAATAAACAAAATCAACTAAACCCGAACCACAAGTCATCGGGACCAGGAAAAAACTCCGGCTACTCTGGAACCGGCACGAAAGAAGATTTGGTCAACCACGACAACCAGTTGAATCCAAACAATCCCGAATACAAGGGAAAGAAGTAAAAAAAAATGAAATTAAAATTTCATGTACATCCAAAAAATGTAAAACAACGAAAATGCATGACATTGTTGTGTCATTTTCATCAGATTTTTATTTCTTCGAATAAATGAAAATCGGCGAAATCTATAAATGGAGTGTTTTTATTTAAACTATTGTGAAACGCAAAATGGGTTTCTCTCTTTATTTCTGAAAGTTTTTGTTTTTTCTTTAAGTTTTATAGATTTTCAGATCAATGAAATTGAGCATTCAATGTTTCAAAAACAAAGGTATTTTTTCGAGTGCTTTTTAAAAAGTCTTTATAGAGAATTAAAATCGTATCGTTATAGAGAATCAATACTTTATCAATACAATTTCGTAAACTTAATTATTAAATTAAGATTTCTTCATTGGTTTGGTGATTTTAGCTTCAAAACGCAAAAAGCAACTTCGTTTATCTGAAAAACGATCGAACTGACAACTGAATCTATGGCCATTTCGATATAACTGCTTCAAACTTCCAAAACTCAACAAAAATATTGTGACATTGGTTTATGAACTTGTACTAGTTTATCAAATTTTCTGTCGGTTGGTCTCTTATCTTTCAATGGATAAGCTTGTGATAATGGGTGCTGATAATGATGAATATATTTCAAGCACGCAAAAATTAAATTTAATTTGTGAGTGAAAGGTATGATGTTCTTAATATGTTTGACAAATGTATACAATTCATTTGCATTAAAGCTGTTTGGCCGTCAAGGACCAAGAGAGATGAGAGGACAAGAGCAGCACGAACCATATAAGTTTCAAATACTGTGCGAATTATTTTTATTACGTTTGTTTCTCAAAGTCAAAGCAATAAAATTGCATAGTATAATTGAATGATCGATAAATACGCAGACGTGCCAGAATATTTCAAGAACTTTTTTCAAGTCCTTTGATGGCTACAACATTCATTTTTGCGCAATAATCACTTTATACGATTCATGCAATCTAAGAAAGATACATTGAGAAATAAATAAGAATCGGCTTTGTATACTTTTTGAATGTGGTTATTTTTAAATCGAAATGTCTAGAAAGTGTTTATAACAATACCACATACATATACTACGTATTATTTAGTATATACAATATAAGCGTGTTGCTGAGAGTGAATTGCGTCTCCAGTTCTTACTTATGGACGCTTACGTCAGGAAGAGCAGGAAGTGAGTACACACTAAATAAGTGCGACGAGTTTGTCCTTCTCGACAAGTGCACACATAGAATGATAAATATAGTTCTACATAACATATTTGAATTTCACAACCGATCCAACGTATGTCATCATTTGGAGAGTATAAGAGCCAGTGTATCGCAAGTGTAAGCCATCAGAGCCTTCGAAGAAAGCAAAGAGCTAGTTTGAAAGCAAAGTTATCATCAGAAAGCAAATAAAGACCAGAACGACGAAATAATGGATCGTGGACAACGTAAGTTTAAGACTTTTTATTTCGTTGATTATTTGTTTGATATTTTCTGTGATTTTAAAATTGTCTTCCCATTTTTTTAATACAAATTGATTAATTGATTGTGAAATTTTATCTATCTTTCAGAGGGAAACCGCACAAACCAGTGCAACCCGACGCACACCCCAAGTGGACCAGGCCGTAATGCCGGATACACAGGAACCGGCACGCGTTCTGATTTGTCTAATCATTCAAATCAATCCAATCCAAACAACCCATCATACCAAGGAAAAAAATGAATCAGCAAATGCTGCGTCTCAAAATAATCCAAACATCAAATAAAATCACACATTGTGTCTTTATTAATTAACTGTTGGATAAATAAAATCACTTGGTGAAATTCAAAAGACATGGAAACTTGGTGAAATTTTGTGTGTGTTATTTTTCAGTTTTGAAGTGTGAGAAGTCGTGCAGATATTACAAATTTATTTTAAAGTAAGTACTTATTTCTCTCTCAGTGAATTTGAAAAAGTTTCGTACTACTTTACAAAATGACAAAAATTGTCCAAAGAAGAAATTGTTGAAAAAATAGCAATGAAATAGAAAACAAACAAAAAATGAAAGCAAAAAAAAGGTTAATTAGAAATATGTGATGTAAGTATGTGTTCAACGCTCTACAATCTTTTTTTTAGTACGCAACACTGAAAATATGATCATTGTTTTAGCTTTTAGATTTAGATTTGTTTCATGAGATTGATCGCCAATTGTGTGAACAAATATGACATTGTTGAAATGAAACGTTTGAAATATATTTGATTTTGCGGCTTAATTAAAATGCTATTGATAATTCTTATAAAACTCCATGCGTTGCTGTTTCTATCATTTATCATTTGATTGCGGTTTAAATGTCTTTGAGCATTATTATGCATACTTGATAAATCGTTGAGAGTAAAACTGTGTTGAAATGCTTTTGAAAATATCCAATATTTCATTTATATAATATTTTATTGACAAAAAGTGCTGACAATTAAAATCGCTCGAATTAAGAATTCAAATATCGTCAATATTTATTTATGGTCGACAGTCTATATTTATTTATAAATGATAAATAAGGAAATATAAGACTTTTTTAATCGCACTTTTTTTTACTATCTTATTTTGAAGAATAAATCAGTTGACTAAAATATATTTGCCGATATAAAAGAGAAAGTCACGTTAAGTTCTGATTCATACTCCTTTTGAAAAGCTAATAAGAAACAACACGGATAAAATGGATTCACGTTAGTGATTTTTTCTTTGTATAATTTTTCATTTTCTTTCATTTAATTTTTTGTTTAGAAAACACCCGAATAATTTACATTGTGCACGTGTTGATCTTATAGACTTTGTTTTCAACTATTTTTTCTAATTTTGGTATAGGTCACAACACATCCAACCATAAAGATGACGAACCAACAGCGAATCATAAAGAAAAAAGTCGCATAAATTTCCTTGTAATAGGCAATAATATACCTAGTAATATACCTTATCGGAAGGTAGTTATCAAGACATACTTACTTAAAAATTACTATTTCATTACTCTACAATTTCTGATCCATTCCTTCAATTCATTTTCCATTCTGTTCCATTAATTATTGATTAATTTCCATTTTTTCCCATTCTTTTCTTCTGATCAACTCTAGGTAGTTATAGCTCATAGGTCAAGAACGGAACAATGTTCAAACAACAACAACCGGGAACATAACATCCAAACGTCTCCCAATCTCTTCAATGCGGACTAAAATTAAAAAAATGAAGTTTGCAAATTAATTTCATTTGAATTTTAAATGTGATCCGTAGACATGTATGATTTTCATTCGAATTATACTTTTGCAATAAAGAACGACAACCAAAAATAAAAAAAGAACTGTGTTTTCATTGAATAATCTTGTAGTTTACAGTTTCCAATTGTGTGTAAGAAAAAATGTCTTTAGTTATTAATTACAATGTGTGCTAATACAACGAGATGTTCTTGTATTGTGCATTTTAATCTTGAATTTCTCTTCAATCGCAAAAGGTAATATTGATAGATTTTTTTGTATGGTGATGTAACTTTAATGAAATCTCGGAAAAACCCTTACTTTTTTTTCTCGGATAATCAAATATGAATAAGTACAAACCTCTTTAAACTATAAACTTACTTGTTCAAACATTTTTTTAAAGATCGGGTATGTGACGCACTGAAATTCAATCAACTCCACAACAAAAATATATTTTCAAGTCTCACAAGGCAAAATTCCCAATTTTTTATTCAACAACACAATCAATTATTTCAAACTAAACGGTACAAATATTCTAATTCGTTCACAATTCATCTTTTTCAAAAATTCGTGTTGGTAAGTGTGCACCGATCTGTCTCCAGAAGTTAGCACGATCGTGGAAAATTCCGTCAATCTCCATGCCAATCAATGATTTTCCATTGTGGTTTGAGTTTCCAATGCGGTAATATTTTAATGGGAATCCATTAGCTTCTTCCCATTTCGGTAAATCGCTTGAGTCAGGTGTTGGATTTCTACAAATGATTACAAAATAATTTTACGGATTTTTTTTCATTCATTTAAAGATGTTTTCATTATTCTCTCTTACCCAGTACTGGCAAAATTAACCCATAGTTGAGTGATTGCTTTTCGAATTTCCTCATCCTCTTTCGTCGGAAGTGCACTGATGAACAGTCCATCAGCAATTGGGAATAGATATTGCAGCTCTTCAGCATGACTAACTCCTAAATAATTAATAAACACAATTTAAAATCTATTGGAATTTATTGCTGAATTCAACTTACCCCAATAATTCTCTTGTCCACCTTTAAATATTTCGGTGAAACTGGCTGATCCTTTGTGTGTGAATAAATACACATATGTTGGCGCAATATTTTCATGTGAAAGTCGTAATTCCAAATATTGATCCATCGCTTCTAAAAACCAGCCATCTGTGAACAACTGCAATTTAAAAAAAATTAGACCATATAAAAATCTACAAAGATTCGACTATCAAATGAGGGCATTTACATTTGTGACATTTTTCTGCTTTTCTCTCGATAAATCATTTGCGAAATAATATTCATTGATTTTCCTCGTTATCCATTCTTGAACGAGTGTTTCGTGGTGATCATAATTTAATGCAATTGGTAATACTGAACTGAGATTTGTACTGAAGTCATCGAATAATCCAGGTAAATTAAACAGAGCTGAAAACAAATGAAGAAGAATTTCAATTAAATAAATTATTTGAAAAGAAAATTTGAAATATTTTCGTCTTACGAGCTGATTTCATGGCGCCTTCGTCAAAGGTTAAACCCGTCATAAATGGAATTTTCAATGAATTTTCATTGTGACCATCATCACGAGGATGTTTTGTAATAAATGCTCCAGGTATATCTGGTTCAACCACGGGTGGAAAAGGTATCATCGGGTCAGTGTCCCACATCTACCAATAAAGAAAAAATCGGGAAAATACATGTCAAAATATCTCCTAAATAACATTTTTTAATACAAAAACTTCTTTTGGAGAAGCGACTCTTGATAAAACCTACGAAGAAATCATAGAATGCTGCTGTAACATTTTCAGCCGAAACTGATCGGAGGCAGTCTAATGTCTTTGGCCAACTTTGTGGTGTATAGCATTTGAATGACTCAGCCAATTTAATTGCGCGACTCCTGGCAACACCTTTATGAGCTGGTTGTGACCAAGCTGCTAAATTTGTTCCGGATTGTGCAATCGCTTTGGAGAATAAGCCTTTAAAACAACGTAGAATTTTAGAATAATTAAAAACTAAACTCAATATGGAAAAAAACCACAAACAATGATGACATAAACACGGTGACATATGCGGTTAATGTTCATTAAAATAAGACAAACCACAAAAATATTTCACTATTTCTGACACAGTTTCTACGCCGAAAAACAAATTCTACACATTTTGTGATTTGTCACTATTAAACAACACTCAAAGAAATTTGTATATGATATAAAGATTCGAAGAACGTAAAATTTTAATTATGACCCGCACTATGATACATTTACGATTTTAATGTGTATTTTGTTTACCTTTTGCTAATGGTGACATCATCAAATACGTTGCACTCGCCCCACCAGCACTCTCCCCGAAAACTGTTACACTAAAATTATATTTTTTAAATTTTTCAATTGATCGAATATTTGGAGTATAATGTTTACCTTGCAGGATCACCACCAAATGCTTTGATATTGTTTTGAATCCACTTCAACACCAAAACTTGATCTTTCAAACCGAAATTGCCCGGGCAATCCTCTTGTTCTGAGCTCAAAAATCCGAGTGGTCCGAGACGGAAATTGGCTCCAATATAAATAACATCATAATCCAGCAAATAATCGGGTCCGTAGAATGGTCGGATTCCCGAACCACATTGAAAGCCACCACCGTGAAAGAATACCATCACAGGTAGATTACTAGTTTTATTTCGATCGTACTGTGAAAGGAAGGAATTTTGAAGAATTGGCACTTAGTTTTGAAGAAAATTGATGAAATTTGCAAACAAACTATATGCTAACCGAATGTGGTGTATAAACGTTTAACGCTAGGCAATTTTCGCTTCCTTCTATTTCATGATTGCGGCGGAATGGATCTCTTTGCACACAAATTGGACCATCTTTGACGGCAAAAAATTCACCTTCCCACTTCTCGGCTGGTTCTGGCGCCTATTTGTAGAAAATCGTTTTAATTTTTAGACTTTTTTAAAATTTAGCGTCACTATTATGAAAACTTTCATTTTTTCATCAATTAATGTTTCATTATTATTTCATTTTTTCTGCAACATATTTTGTTGCCAAAGTGTGACATAAAATGTTCTGAAGAATTAATAAAATAAAAAAAAGAAAATTAATAATAAATTACACAAGTGCCTAATTACATTTCTTTTAAATAAATTCTGAAGAGAATTCAAATTTTTAAAGTTGCTTCAATTTATTTTGAATATTTATGTCTTTAAGTCCATTTTATATCATTTAAATGTTTTCACGTTGATTTTTTATTTTGACTTTCTTTGTCTTTTTTATTCAAATGTAGTCATGAGTTCTGAGAACACTAATAACAAAAATTTAAAAAAACCATTATAATACATCAAATCTTTAATGGCACGATAATTCTGTGAAAAAGTTCCAAATTTTGTTGTGATTAAAAAACGATTAACGTCACAATAATCACGATATAAATGGCTAAACCGGAAATTTTGCGAAATTTATAAAAGAGAACATAATTTACTTTGAAACGAAGATGACCAACTGGTGGCTTAGCATAGGGAATTCCCAAGAATGCTTTTATCGGTCTTCCTTCATGCGATCGTAATTGTCTTCCAACTAATTTACTACCATTTGGCAACGTGATTCGTAATTCATTCGATGTACGAGCGGATATTGAACTAATAATACTAAAAATCACAATAAAACACACAAACCAAACCGACAATCGTACATTCATCTTTGGGTCACTTTTAAAACTTGAATTACGTTAAAATTAAATAGTTTTCATATATTTTAACTCTAGCAATTTGGTTTCGCTAATTTCTATGTTGTACTATGGTATTTTATGTTGTAATAAATACACAATAATAAAATATAATGTTAGACGTAAAAATGTACAAAAACGTCCATAGAGAATGGACTTGGACGCTATTAAAAAGTGCGACCAACCGACACAAGACCTAATGATAAAATAACACAGACTGCAACAACATTTGGAGATTCGATATTTGTTGATTATAATGAAATTGGTGGGGAACCCTCACGTGTGTTTTAAAAATAAGTTTTCTTATGCAAACGGTAGAGCAAAACAAGTTTAAGCATTCGCAAAAAGACGCAATTTGAATGTTTACGTTTATTCACCGATATTTCAAGAGAAAGCTTAAAAGGCGGTTTTTTTTTCTTTGGAACAACACGCTTTTGATGTAAGTATAGAATTTGTTTTGATTTATGTTGGCATCGAGATGACATTATAGTAAGGCCATAACATTCCCTCTTTTTCGGAACTTGAAGAGTTTTGCGTTACCTTCTATCACCGTCTAGCGAATATTTCACGGTGTGTTTTACCTTGCGAGCATTAGTGGCATCTGGTTATTTGCCTTGTGTAATAATATGACTTTGCATTTTAATTATTATAATTTGTACACAAAATCATCAAATAACGCGATGTAAAACCTTACTAGTTTGCTTGTAAACAAAAAGTCATTCACATAAATCGAATCTTGTTCATATATCTAGTTTAAGATATAAATTACTTCATTAAAATTGGTTTCACTTTTTTCTACTCTAATGAGCAATTGACACATTGGAACACTTTTTATTCACAGTTTTTTTATCATTCATAAATTCCTACAGCAGCTATGCGATTAGAAAAAAATCGCATTTTTATTTCCATGCTAATTGAATGATTAGTTTTTAATGGACGAAGCCACAATCATTAATTGTGTTTTTTTTGAATTTCTGAATAATTGATCATGTCGCTACTGAAATGTAGTTATAAATGATTATTGCAAGAATTACTGCTTTTTTCTTCAAAATGTTGTTCACGATATTTGAATTTTTATTAAAAAAATCATATTTGACTTTTAATTACGTGTTAATCGCAGATAATGGTCAAAGTCGTGCATAGTTTTATTCTCTCCATCTTCATTATCTTGAATTTTACTTCGTGCCATTGGGTGATGCACTTTGCATTTCCCAATAATTCCTGATTTGACTGTGACTCCTTTGGGTATTTACATATTCCTGATGACGTCATCGTAGCAAACATGTTTCCATAACACATCAGTGAAGAAAAAAGTACCGATGCAATTTTACGATGGTTTTATTTACCTCTTTTGATTATTATATTCAATTGCTTTAACCACATAAATAGTTAATGAAAACATAACTTTATGATGCAGTAATAAATGTTAGTACTTGATATAGTTGACATCGTTCATTATTTATTGCAAAATTATAACATGTTTACATTTTCGTTCTAAACACATTTTTTTGTGTTTCATTTTTTAGGTGTTTGAAGGTTTATTGCTTTAACGTTTCTTGAACTTTTTCTACTACAAAATTAGGTGAGTGAGCACTTAGCGTTTGAAAATTCTCGAATTGGAAGAATTTGATATAAACGAGTTTTGACATGTTTGGTAGTTTTTCAAGCACCACTTTTAATGCAAAATTAAGTGGAGGTAATCTGTTTTTTTTTTTTTTTGCAAATAATTTGCGTTCTCTATTCATTAAGCATAAATCCAAAGTAATAAGCGAATCTTTACGCTTCTAGCTAATAGCTAGTAGCTGTATGTTGAATGGCATTTCATATCGGATGGCATTGCTCTCCTCTCCATCACCTATTGCTTTGAATAATTGCCGCTCAAATTACATAACAACTTTTTTGTACGGAAGAGCATCCATAAAAAAAGCAAAACCGGTGAAGGCCGTTGCAAAGAGAATATCGAACGGAATTAAATTATGCGACGTCATTACCAAATAACCACAATTCGATTTTCTTGTAATAAGACCTCAAATATCACCGTGTTTGCCTACATTTTTATAAATAAAATAAAATAATGAGCTATGGTCTAGTCTATACTGTTGCGTATTTACACTAGTATTTACATCACACAGATCGATTTGAATATAGTTTTGTAGCTCGTTTTCATTATAATGTGCCTTACATTTTCAGATTACCTTCACCTTAACCTTTTCGTATATTTTTTTTGGTAATGAAGTTAACTATTGTCTATATGTCAATTTTGATGGCGCTCCCAACTCTCTGCTACGTGATACAAATAACGATCATTTTTACTGTTTTCAGCTTGCGAAAAACCAATTGATTGATGCTGTTTTTCCCATTCTTCAACAACGCGGTATATGTATCGGTCATTGTCACTTGTCTCAGTCTGTGAAAAACCAGCGCAGCTCTGTTCTTTTTCCAACGCATCAGCCACACTCAACAAATATTGATCATTGCTTGTGTTCGCTTTCGAGAAACTAGATTCGGCGGATATACGGGTGGCATCGCACTGTTTTTCACAGGTTTTTCCTGAACAAAAAATGAACATGCAGAAATTGTGAAAGAATAAATTCAGATAAATACCTTCTTTGCTCGTTGCCATTTTTCTATTCTTTACGTCACTTTTGATTTGTATCGTCTTGCAAGGTGGGTGATTTAATGAGTCATTTGAAATAATAAAAAATGGTATTGATTATCTCGTATAATTTGATGGAATCAGTACTTAAAACGTACATGCAATACCAAGTTGTGACTAAGTGTGTTGCGCATGCGGTATGCGGTGAACGCATCGAATCAGCATGTAGGCAGCAATGCTGTACAGACGCTGCAAATATCAAACCATCACTCTATTGAATATATCGAGAAGAGAGTATGTTATTCAGCGCTTATAGCTGAGTAATGTTTGAATAAAAACCAGACACACAGCGTTCCGAAGGGGAAATGAAGTGTGTAGCACACGTATCTCGGCTCACGCATACATTCAAAGCTATCGAGTATTTTTATTCTATAGAAATATTTATTGCAATATAATTAGTAAAAAATGAAAGTCTGATAAAAACATACTCTCCTCTCGATATTTCCAATAGCACTGAGAAATAATCAAAGAAAAATGAATAAAACTAGATTTTAAACTGACTTTGCACCGTCCGAAAAAGTCATAACACTTAATCCATTGCAAAGGCCGTTTAAAAAGGCTCCATCATATCGCGCGATTCATCTGAACGCGCGTTCCATCTGAACGACAAAAAAATATAATATTCGATCAATGTTTTCTTTAGAGCCAAAATATAAGTCAATCGAATGCACCTGCCAACATCAGCGAATGCAAGTCATCGCCATCAAAAGGAGCCGATAAACGACACCAAAACAAGTAGCAAAACAAATCCAACGGAAAATGCATTCAAAAACGCAAATACGTCATGACGATATCGGTTATCTTGATGTAGAATTCTATATTTCAACAATACGAACAAATGCAATTTTCTTTCCAATTTCATTTCAATGTGAAATGTTTAATTTTACGAAAGAAAGATATGTGGGTATCGCTCATTTAATTTAAATTGATGTGTATTTTGTGTAAATAACACAAGTCACGGTATTCTATTGTTTCGATTCACCAATTGTGATTCATGCGCAAAAATATTTTGATAAATTGACACACAAACATATCGACATGAATGAATTTTATACGATCTCTGCCACATTATGCGCCAATCAGCATTAAAAATTCAATGCTGTGCTCACTCATGCTTATCAATTATTATTATGGGTGAAGAAATGCGATAAGCATATACGTAGAAAATATTTTTGGTTGTACATGTGCAGCAATCGAGTATTCGATCATCAACTTACGTCAACTGTAAATTGTTGTTGCTGTCATTCAATAGATGTTTATTTTTCGCATTTGTTACTTCACGCAAGTAGTAGTAGTATAAAGCACATTACCCTACTTTGCCCCACATGAATGTTTAAATCGTATTCGACTTTTTTCAGAACTAACTCAACACTAGTAATCGCAAATATACCGAGCCTATCAAACATTCTCCAAAAACACAGAAATTTTCGTTTATTTTAAAGAAACAGATTCCATGTATAGAGTGAAGTAACATGAATGTCCGACAAAAAAATTATCGAAGTGAATATTCGACCGACGAACAAAATTGCATTGAACACAATTTTCAACGATTGAAAGGTAATTTTTTGAGTTAGTGTTTATTTTTTTTTATATAATCAAGTAATAGAATACATATCAACTTTTTTTTCTGAATATTGAAGCGTCTTATTATTATTGTAAATTGCAATCCTTTATTTTAACATTTTTTTCTTTGCCAACATTTTAGACATTCACTATCTCGATCATGCAGGAGCTGCTCAATATGCTGACCAGCAAATGCATCAAATTTATTCAAACTTGATCTCAAACATTCACTGCAATCCCCATACCAGTAAATTCACTGGAGATCTGATCGATCAAGTGCGATATAAAATTTTAAAATCATTTAATACAACTTCCGATGAATATTCGATCATTTTCACAAGTGGAGCGACAGCTTCATTGAAATTAGTAGCCGAAACATTTTGGTTTGATAATGCATCTACTAGTTCGTTTTTATATTTACGTGATAATCATACATCGGTACTGGGAATGCGTGAAATTGTAAAAACAAAAAATATCTGCTATATTGAACGAGATGATTTTTTGTGTGGAAAATTCCACAATTCATCACAACACAACGGCAATTCTTTGTTTGTTTTTCCGGCACAGTGTAATTTCAATGGCTTTAAATATCCATTGGATGCAATTCATCGCTTCCAAACAAACAGTGGAAGCACATCAATCGAAGAATCAAATCGATATGTTTGCTTGGATGCAGCTGCTTTTGTTTCAACCAACTATTTAGATTTGAACAAATGGCAACCGGATTTTGTTTGCATTTCTTTTTATAAAATTTTCGGGTATCCAACCGGTAAGAAGCAAGAAAACATTTACTGACTATGTGTGTTTTTATGATCGTGTTATTTTATTATGATTTGTATTTTGTTTTAAATGTTGTATTATTGACTCTCTTTTTTAAATTTATATGAGGAAATCTTATGAATTTTTTTAATTAATTATATTCCAGGTTTGGGCGTAAGTACCAAGGCATTCTTACTTAAAAATTACTATTCCATTACTCCACAATTCCTGGTCCATTCCTCAGATAATTTTTCCATTCTATTCCATTACCTAGAGTTATATGCAATTGAAATAATCACAATATCAACTAGATATTTATAGAATGTACTAAGAAAGTAGTAAAGGTTTGATCACACACATACAGGTTAAATTAAGTTTTTTCATTTCACAGATCCAATTTACCAAATAACCACTACCAAATCTTAATTTTAAGCAATCTGTTTGCATAAGCGCATTTAGCCATTAAGTTGTGAAATTTAATATGTTCGCCATACTGAAAGTAAAAAGTACACACCGTGTGTAAATTACACTGTGATTAGATTATTTCAATTTCATTTTCCATAACATTCCATTACATGTTGATCAATTTCCATTAATTCCATTTTTTCTTCTGATTATCCCTAGGCATTGATTGTCAGCAAAAGAGGTGAACAAATGCTGAATAAACAATATTACGGTGGTGGAACAGTTAAAATTAGCTTGAGTAACGGATCGGGATGGCATCGTAAGCGGGATATGATTCATGAGAGGTATGAAATTTATTCTTATTTCTTTTCGATATAAAATTGAAACAGAGTTTTTTGTGGGTGAAAATGTCATTAATCGTTAAAAAAAATCATTATTTATTAAAATTCCAATTAATCCATGGCACATAGATCTTTAAAATATAAAATAAAAGTCCAAGTTTTAACTCGATTGAACTCGATGGTATCTTGTGGCGGGTCCTTCACTCGAATATTCCACTGTTGACTCAAACTCTGTAACAAATACAATGGGGTTTCATTTTTATTAGTTTATTTTTTATTCGAATTGTGAAACTCTAAAAAATTCAAAGTTTTACAAGAGTAAAAAATACTATGTTAAAAAAATTTAAACAAAAAATATGTAAATACGATTACTTACGATTGTCTGGTGTCAAGTTATATTGATATGCACCCGATCTCTGTCTGAAAATTAAAAAAAAACACGTAAAAAAGTAAAATTTTGCATTTACATTTTGAAATATTAAAAATCTATGGGAAAATGACTACTTATAAGTTCGATGAAAGCTATAGAATTGTACGAAAAACTTACAAAAACTTACACGAACTTATGAAATCGCACGCTTCTTATGAGAATTTATACGAACTTACGCTTTGTCCATATACATCAACACACTGCTGTAAGTTCGATATGCGTTAAAATGCCGAAACAGTCGCACATATAGTAGTCAAATGACACAACGCTGGTCAATTTTTTTTAATTACATCTCAGGCAAATAATTTGTACAAAAGAGTAGAATGCATTTTAAAATAAAAATTACCTAGTAAATTGGATATCATCCTTAAAAGACCTGATTTTGATATTGAAGCATCGCTCATAGACTCATAAGCAATAATTCTTTGTGGATCTTTGAGATACATTACTGATTATTCACTATCAAAACCGACTCTTCCAAAAATGACGTCTAATTAGACGAATTTATATTTCTTGGTATTTTTTCACCGAAAACTATCTCGACTTATTTATACAAATTATTTTCTATCTGATTCGACATGACTAACATTTATTACCATTGAAATTAATTACTGACGTTGAAAAAGTTACTAGTAATCTATAGGAACTTACGTAAAACTTAGACGAACTTACAAAAATGTATGTAGAAACGCGCGAACTTGTGAAACTTACAGATACTTATGAACTTACAACGAGTCATTTTCCCCTAGGTAAAAATAGTAGCTTACTCATAATGATGATGTCCACCGTCTTTGCCATCGTTGCGAAAATCTATAAAATCAATTATAGAGATGAATTCGTATTACCTTGTAATTGATGATTCATGTTCATTTTAATAAAATTATTAAAATTGCATATTCACCCGAAAAGCGACTGTCACGTCGAATCCAAAGAAAGTAACAGATGTTGATTAAACAAAGCACCAGCAACAGCGATATAACTACAGCTGCAACAATAATGACAATATCTTGCGTTTCCAAACTCATCTTCGAGCACTTTAAATGCAAAATACAACTATGAAATTTAAAATAATGTATATAAATTCAATTAAGTTCCGTAAATTTTTATCGAAACAATTAAATTCACTTGTCAAAAATTGCTTTCGATCTCAATTCACAATTTTTTTAATATACACATTTGTTTTGTTGTTTATTTGAACGACAAAATCGGATCGACACGCAATGTTTTTGCGTCTATTTACGTGACTGTGATCTTATAGTGAGTGTGTCATTTTTCAGCTCATTCACTCGGCCAACACAATTTGAACTGCTGTGATGTGAATGTGTGTTTTCGATATCGTCATTATTTAAAACCCACTCGATTTTTGCGACCGCGCTTGTGCACACTCCTCACCGGCTGTATGCCGTTTTCTTCCATTGAAAAATGTAAACACACTAAATACACCAACAAAGACACACCAAATTCGTCAAGGTCCATTCGAGAAGAAATTTAACGAGCAACAAAAATGCTGTTGAATAAGTTGTTTAATATGTATGTTGACCGTAATGTATGTAGATGTAGTAATTTGCGAGCTACATTTTACAGGGGGGGGATTTATTTTTCAAAAACTAAAAATTCTCTCATTTGAACAACAAATTTTGTTTATTTTTTTTGCTCTTCACTTTTTTGGCGAAAATCCCTAGCAAATCGATATTCATTGAAGTATGTAACTGATTTTTCGTTGAATTTCGACATTCATCTTGGAATTAATTGGATAGAAAATACAGAGTTTTTAAATTCTTTGCGTGATTTGTTTCATTAGGTTTGAAGATGGAACTCTACCATATTTATCGATTGTTTCGCTTCTGTTTGGATTCGAAACAATTGAAAAATTAATACCCGGACAATCAATGAAACGAATCTCACAGCACAGCTTTAATTTGGCTAAATATCTTTACGAATGTCTAAACGAATTAAGATATTCCAATGGGCGGAATGTCATTCATTTTTACCACGATACCGATTTTAAGTCTATCGACAATCAAGGTGGTATCGTTAATTTTAATGTTTTACATGAGGATGGGCGATTTGTTGGATTCTCACAGGTAATATTTGGATTTATTACAAACGATTTTCAATTTTATAACATTTTTGATATTTAATTCTTGACAGTAAATCAACGGGAATAGAAAATTGAAGTCAATCAATAAAATGTATAATTTTGATTTGTCGTAGGTGGCGTACATGGCACAGTTGCACAACATATACTTGAGAACGGGCTGTTTTTGTAATCCAGGTGCATGTCAACGTAAACTTAGATTGTCTGACGAAAGTTTGAAAGCTCATTTTGAGGTGATTAATAATTTTACATTGAACTCACTGCAGTGAGTTTAGTTTTATTCATTCCGATCACAAAATTTTCACTTTCTTTTATTTCTGATTTCTTGTCTCTTAGGCTGGTCATATTTGTGGTGATAACAATGACTTGATCGATGGTATCCCGACTGGTTCAGTTCGAATTTCGACGGGATATATGACAACGGTCAAAAATATTGATGCCATTGTCAGCCTCATTAAAGATTGTTTCTGCAACAAAGAGCGTGGAAAAAATTTGGAATCCGTTTCAAAATCAATTTCTTTTCAAAATTTCGATTTACAACTCAAACAAATCATGTCCAATGAAACGAGTAAAAATCAATTCAAGTTAACAAACAATAATAATATCAAGCCGAAAATACAGAAACGAAAGAGTTTAACGAATGCGATAAAATTGCATGAGATCTGTGTTTATCCAATAAAATCATGTGCGCCGATTCGTGTTGATAGTACGTGGATGATAAATCGACGTGGCTTAAAATATGATCGAGAATGGATGATTGTGCGCTCAACCGGTATCGCACTGACACAAAAATCAGATACAAAATTGTGCTTGATTCAACCGACAATTAATGAATCTAAAAATACGCTTTCATTAAGTTTTCCATATGCCAAAACAGTTGAAATTCCATTGCGCCGAGATGTGAATGACAATCGAGTTATATCATCATTTTGCCAAAGTAAAGTGTGTGCTGATCGAATAGATGGTATCGATTGCGGCGAAGAAGTAGCCAAATGGTTAGACGATGTTCTATGTATTTCTGGGCTGAGATTGATTCAACAAAACCTGAACGATAAACGCATGGCTAAAAATAGTGTATCAACTGAACAAGCCATATCGCTGTCAAATCAAGCACAATTCCTATTGATAAACGTTGCTTCGGTTGACTGGTTGACGAAAAAAGTCGACGATTGGATTGAATTAGACAATGTGCCTGAAAAATTGCTTCAAAATACAGTTGACCGTTTCAGGGCGAATCTGATAATCGAATCACCATTGCCATTGGAAGAGTTCGAATGGAAATCCATAAGAATTGGCAGTATAAAATTAACGACGACTGGTCCATGTATGCGCTGTCAAATGATTTGCATCGATCAAAGTACCGGAGAAAAAACAACGGAACCACTGCAAACTATCGCACGAGAATTCAACGGCAAAATGCGTTTCGGAATTTATTTGTGTGGCGAACAATTGAGTGATGACGATGAGAGAGTTATTTCATGTGATGATTATATAGAAATAAACAAATAAACAAAATTTCAGGTGTGGCATATTTTTTTAATGCATAAATGTTTTTTTTCTAATCAGTCTCAATATAATTCGTTTGTTATTTTTAATTTATTGAATAACACAATCGGTAATTGGTTGTTCTTTCACTTTTGTTACTGGTTTACCTAGGGATGATCACAAGAAAAAAATTAAAAAAATGGATATTAATCAATAAGTAATGATTTACCTTCGGCCGCTAATTTCACATTTTTCACAACATCGCCATAATCTGGAAATGCCAAACCAGCCAGTTTTGAATGCACCAATTCACTATTAATTTTTACCTCAAACGAACCTGAATTGAGATGAATGTTGGTAATTTTTTTCTTCACAGAAAGCATATATATTTGTATGAATGTATTCAAACCTCGTCGGCCTGTGTGACACACAACATCTGCTTTTGGGCACATTTCTCGAATGATTTTGCCCAATTCCTCACATTGTGGCTTTGAATTACAAATCTCGCTATGAAATACAACATTTAATTCAATAAGATGATAAATTAAATAAATGAAATGTTTTTACCAATATTCGATGTCAACTTTAACTGTATTCATTTGAAAATCTTGAAAGTTACGTTCAATGGAAGTGAGTGCTTCTCACAAAACACGAATAAAAAAAAGGTTAATGCAATCAGCTGTTTTTGACATTTGCTTCGAACCTCACATTTCTTCAACCGTTCACAGTATCGGTACATGGATTTGAAAAAAGACGTTAGTTGCACGTCTTTTATTCATTATCCATTAAATTCTTATCAACTTTTTAAAAAGAGATACTTGAAATAAATATTGATAAAATGCCATCAATGGATGATTTTTTATTTGTTTAAATTGATTTGATTATGTATATATTTTGCAAATATTTTGACTCCCAGGCGGCGCATACATCCAAAGCGACACTATTTTTGTATTACGCTCATTTCAGTTGGCTACTCGTTTAGATAAGAAATTGCAAATCGAAAAAACAAAGAAATAAGCACCGAAACAAACTGGTATTTGTAATATTATTATTCGATTATTTTACAATTATTTTTTGAATATTTTAAATTAATTGTATTCTTTTCTTTTGTGATTCTCCCCTTAGGTATTTGTAATAAATGTATATAATGTTCACTTTCACCGAACTACAGATTTTGTGTGCAGAATCAATATTTCTAAAGTACAGCCTAGCACTTTTAATTTTCATAATCATAAAACAAGTTTGGTCGCGACAATTTGCATGTAGTGGAAACGAAAAGAGCCAAATTGAAAAGAAGGTCATTGATATTGGACAGAGCATTTCGATTGATTCAACTAACGATGGCGCCGACGACGACGACAATGACTATAATACAAACTATGTCGATGACTATAAACCTCACTTACCAGAACGTGAGCATATTCCCTATGGCGGATTAACCGAGTGCTTGGACAGAAGTGGTGAATTATTTTACAAATTAACCAATGATCGTAGAAGTATTCGTAAATTTAATAAAAATAAACCAGTCGACATTGGAGTCATTAAAAAGTGCATCTTGACAGCAGGTGATTTATTTTTAGGATTCGATCAAGTCAATAAATAGATTGTGTTCAAAATAAAGCTTAAACTCAAGACGCTAATAAAAAAATACGTTGAAATTTAAGAACGAAAATCAACCAAACATGAATTAAAACATTTCTATTAATTTATTAAAGGTACTTCGCCCAGCGGGGCTCATACCGAACCATGGACGTTTTGTGTGATTCAAGATGCACAAATTAAGCGCAAAATTCGTGAAATTATCGAAACCGAAGAATACTTGAACTACAAACAACGTATGTCAAGACAATGGACAGCTGATTTACGGCCACTCAAAACCGACTTTATAAAGGAATATCTAACTGATGCACCATTCATAATATGCGTATTCAAACAAGTTTATGGTAAACACACATCACGTTCATATCTTTTTCATTAAGCATACAATCTATTTGTATCTATTAGGAATTCGTTCAGATGCAACGAAACAACGACATTATTACAATGAAATCTCCGTATCGATTGCAACTGGCATATTGTTATGTGCACTAAATGCCGCCGGATTGAATTCATTGGTGAGGAAAATTGCTCATCTCCACGAAGAAAATATTCATATCATATTCCATGTTAAATTCTCTAGGTGACTACACCACTGAATTGCGGTCCAGCCATTAAAAACTTACTGAATCGTCCTCAAAATGAAAAGCTGCTTGTTCTCTTACCAGTCGGTTATTCTGCTGATGATTGCCTTGTGCCAGACCTTCAACGAAAACCACTCGATCAGATTATGATCACATACTAAATTGATACAACAAAATTATTCGAACGATAAAAAAGAGTTAGAGAGAGAGAGAATCGGAAAGTATCTGTCTCGTATAAAAGGCACAAACATTTAATTTTAAAAAACACCCAAATATTGCCTTATAAATGATTAGGTGTACGTAAAAGCGTTTTCATTTTTCTGTTTAGTTTTTTATTATCATTATTAAAATGTTCAAAAAAAATGCCAAACATATAACGGTAAAATATATTTGCTGTTATTTTTCATCCTCTATAGATATGTATATTTTCATTTCGTCTAAAAAATGGAGCGAAAAAAGTATAACTTGATCGAATGATTTACATGCACGAGATATATATGTGTTTATATGTGAGCCGACCTGAAGAATATTGTATCGTATTTGATTCACTTGGATTTTGAGTAAAATTACAAAAAGTCGAGAAAAATATATATAAAAAATACTTGTCACTGCAAGAATGTAGAGTGTACGCAATTTTGATATTTTGAATGATTATTAATTATTCTAAATTGTGCTCTTTTCGCCATCATAAATTAGTTCCTCTCGTTAATTTTACAAAAAAAAAATCGAATCCCAAGTCAATTTGCTCTTGCTAGCTTGTTTTATGGCTTTTGAACAATGGATCCATTTTCGGTGATCGTCGATTGCAAAATAAATTATTGTAAAGTATTATAATAAATCTGAGAATTTAAATGCAGTGTAATATGTTTTTTTCTGTCTTGATTATTTTCTGTATTCCAATAAACAATTAATATTCTTTAATGATATCGATGTCATTTTATAAACAATTCCAACAAGAATTTACCAAAGTCATTTTTATAATTGAATTGAGCATTCAAATATCAAATTAAAAAAAATATTTCTTCTGAATTTTTTGTTTTGAAATTTCAAACTGATTCCACGAACACTCAATCATTTTAATGATTTCTTCAAGTGATTTGTTGAAAACGAGAAAAATAAGGAACAAAAACACTTAAACCTTACATGCAAACTTATCAGATTGCTTGAAGAGCTTGTTGACAATGTCAGCGAAAGTTAAAGTTTCTTCACCTCTTATACTTACGACTGCATTGTACATTTTGGATTGCCAAAACCGCAACAATTGCAAGCAATTAATCTGTATTGATCTCATAGCCGTACAGCATTACACCATTCTATGTATTTGCGGCCAACAGAATTTAATATGTCTTTCTTTCTCTATGTAAAATTTCAGCTCAGAATTTCATCTCGCAATCATAAACAGTTGATATGATTGCACGATGTAATCTTATTGTTATTATTACCTTTTAAATCAATTTCAGGCTAAGAAAATGGTCAAAAAATCAATACAATTTTTCGATCACATAAAAAATGTATTTAGTCTTTTAGTCTATAATCTCGGACGAAAAATATTTAATGGATTTTTCTTTTCAATTTTGAAAAGTAAAAAATTCTTTAAAAAATGAAATGAAATTCATTGCTCAGTTAAGAATGTGTTCAGAAACACTATAAAAAGGTCGTGTTATGTTATGAAGAGGGTACGTGATATTTTTCTTTGTAATGATTTTAAACTGCAGTTGCATGTATATTATGATTATATGAATTATGAAAAATGTAGTACTTTCTGTGATCTCTTCAAATGTTGAGTTTGTAATTTCTTATGGAGTTGGTGCAACGAGTGCTGCAACACAGGCTGCTTCGCATACGCCAAAGGCCGAGTTACAACCTACCAACGCTGGACTTGCTGCGATTGCAGCACCTATATAAATCGAATAGGTTGGTTAATACTCGTTGAATATTTGAAAAAAAAAGTTGAAAAAGAAATTGAAAAAAATCACCTCCAGTTGCTCCGAATACGGCACCAGCGGCCGAGAAGCATGCAACAACAACTGCTGCACATCCTATATGAGCCACAAACACGAAAAAAAAGAGTCAGACACAATTAAACCACAAAAAACTCACAATTAAATTAATTCCAATTTACCTGCATAACAAATGCCAGCACCAATTGGACCGCCTGTGGCCACAGTAATCAATGCGCACACCAACAATAAGATTTTCACGTTCATTTTTACAAAAATTTCAGAGTTTGATTTTCAAAAAATTGTTATTTTCCAATAGCACTTCTGTCTCAGTATAAAGTTGTCGTAATAATAAAACTCAATGATGATTCGATGTCGCGAATTCTTTCACTCACTCAATGTATTCACTGTATAGTTAAGAAATTTCTAGAGTATTTTGCTTTCATGATGCAATCGCAATTGGTTTTCATGAAATTGGCATTGTGCATATATATATTTGCAAGCAGTGCAGTACGACGCAGTATATTTAGTTCTTCTGAATGCTCTCAATTTTCACTCAATACACACATCAGTTGGGAATTGTTTTGTTTACAGTCACACAGTACGCCGAATAATGTGAACGAATCACTATACGTAATGCCATGAAGTTGCTTCGAAACAATTGACAAAACCAATGTTGTTATGACATTTACACCTAAATAATAGCATGTGTTGAACGTAACCTCAAAATTTAGCCACTATTATTAATCGCGTGTACTTTCATAAGTGAGATAGATCTAGAAAAATTGGGCGAAAATGAAAACGGTATCGCATGAGGGAAATTTATTGATATTTCATGGCAGTAATTTTCTGAAGCAAAGATTAATTTTGTCAATTCTGAGTGGAAAATCGGTGAACATTGTAAATATTCGTAGCCAAGACGATGCACCCGGTTTGCGTGGATATGAAGTCAGTTTGATTCGATTGTTCGATAAAATTTCGAATGGTTCTGAAATTGATATAAACAAAAGCGGCACTTCGATTCTATTTAAGCCTGGAATTTTGAACGGTGGTGTCATTCATCATGAGTGCAACTTGGAACGGGGAATTGGTAAGCATCAACAACTTCGCCCATTTCAATTAATCACTTTTGATTGACTTAATTTTCTTTTTTATTTCAGGTTACTATTTGGATGTTCTTCTTGCTCTCGGTCCATTCTGCAAAATTCCAATCAATGCCACACTTCGCGGAATCACAAATAGCAAAGACTGTCCGTCTGTGGATCACATTAAAAGTTCAGCGTTGCCAAATCTATTGAAATTCCTAGTTGTTGACGAAGGCCTTGAGCTTAAAATAAAACAACGTGGCATGCGACCATTGGGTGGCGGTGAAATTCAATTCAAATGTCCCGTACGAAAAACATTGCGATCATTACAACTTGCAAAGCCAGGAATGATTAAAAGAATTCGTGGTATTGCGTACACATCAAAAGTGTCACCAGCATTAGGCAATCGAGCCATTGAAAAGGCAAAAGGAAAACTATTGGAGTATATACCCGACATTTACATTTATGCCGACCAAAGTAAAGGCAAAGCAGCCGGTAATAGTCCAGGGTTTGGAATTAATCTAGTCGCAGAGACAACAGAAGGCGTTTTCTACAGTGCTGAAAATGTATCGAATGATGTTTCAATGGTGAGTTCAGTCAAGAAAAAAAAAAGAAAATTTTTGGGGAATTTTGCAATTTTTTTCAATAAATGAACTTAATCTTTTTATTCCAAACAGGGTGAAACGGTGACGATACCCGAAGACCTTGGACTAATGGCAGCCTGTAAATTATTGGAAGAAATTTATCGTGGTGGTTGTGTCGATTCAACGTTTCAATGGTTGACCGTGCTGTACATGGCTTTAGGACAAAAAAATATTTCCAAATTCGTGACCGGACCACTATCAGACTATACAATTCATTTTCTACAACATTTACATGAATTTTTTGCCATCACATTTAAACTGGAGAATCCAAAACCAGAAGATTTCGGTGGTGTTGATGAAGACGATATGTTGCCTGGAGCAAAAAAAGTTTTGTTAACATGTATTGGTGTGGGATACACCAATATGAATAAACGAACAAATTAAAATGATTGCCAACCGAAAATATTGTCTCTTTATTTTATACGAATGCTTACAAGATTGCCTTTCTTTAGTAATAGTGTGATTAAATGTAAACAGATAGTAAATCTAATCGCACACTCGCACTTGTGCCTTTAAGCACAGTCTATCGGTATGTGTTTGTGTTCAATAAACACGCACACATAGAGAGAGATAGAGCACTCAGTGATGTTGACAAGTAATAAATCAATGCGGACCGCATTTAGATGTTGTTGATAACACGCATGAAAACAAGACACACAAAAAACATTCAAACGAGATCTCGTATGTCAAAACGAAATGAGAGATCCTGTATATGTGTGTATCATCTGTCGTATTGATCATTGCGTATGTATTTTCACAGCGTACGACAATATTTAGAGGCAAATTTTACCCGACTGACGTACACATAACGCAGAAACTCAAGAAAATTCATCGAGTTCAGTTGATCTGGATCATTTTCAAAAACAAAAAATTAATTCATAAGTTGTCTGAGTTTTACTTTGTTGTTAGTTTTTTTACTTCATTTAAGTTATCATTTAAAAGAGTTGTGTTCAAAATGTTTGCCGTTCGAAATGTAGCCAATTTATCAAAGGTATTTATTGAGAGAGATTTTGAAAGAGCAAAGATTATTTATGGAAATTATTTTTAATAGCATATGTGTAATGCTTTGAAGCGGTCTCAAATGATGTACAGCACAGGCATCACGGAAAAGGCTTCTCCACTAACGTTTCTCACCGATGACGAAAAAATGATGAAAGAAACGGGTTCGTAAACAACATTTTCATTCATTTTTCATTTAAATTGAATGCCACTGACGATGCAAAATATTGCAAATTGAGAAAAATATGATTAATGATTATACTCAAGGACTATAAATACTATATACGACTGATTCATATGTGTTGCAGACGTTATTCTGAGATACTTTCAGCCAGCTGAAATATCTAATCTGACTGCTATCGTCTATTATTTGTATATTGCGTTAAGTGAGAGTGAAAGAGACGGGCTCGAAAGTGATTAGAAACGTTTGTTTTCTTCTAGCTCGTCTCTTTCAATCTCATACAAATAGCAGCCAAATTCAGATGTTCAGAAATTGATTTCAACTGGCTCAAAAAATGTCGTTACTATGGGCTTGAAAAGTATTCTATAACAGCAAAAACAACGAAATTCACAAATGTTCCATATTGTCTATCTATGTCATAATCGCAATTGGTAAACAAGTGAAAACTGATAATGAACTGAAAAACAAACGCATTTTTTTTGCTCGCTCATCGCTTATACAGATTAAAAAAGTTCATGATTATTTCTACAAAGCAAATATATGTGTTATTGTGTTAATTTCCATCTTTAACGCTTTATAATGGTAATTAAGATCAGACGATTTGCACCGAAATATGGCTAAAAACCGGTTATCTGGATCATTTGCATAATGCATAAGATGAACGTGATGTTGATACCTCGTCAACTTGGTTTTTTTATTACTTTTCACCGTAAAGTGTATCCCGGGCGTCGTTTGGTCGAAAACGGAGGCTCATCTCTTTGCAAAGCAATTTTAACGTATTTTCATATGTGAGATATGCTAAAAATGGCCACGTGTATTTTGAATCTGAAACTGTTTAAATGATTTGTTTGTATGATGTGTGTGAATGGCTGAGTTTAGTGTGTGTATATATTGTGGCGATCCTCCATTTGACACAATTATAAAAATTCTCATTCTCCCCACACGTTTTTCGCATACCGAATGCCAGACACTAATTTTTTTTATTAACATCCACTTTATTCATTCAATCCGATTCTATTGTTTGCCGAGTATAAATACGTTTGCTTGAAATCATTAAGTTTATCAAGGATGGTTTGATCGTTCAGTTAAATACAATGCAATAAGCGTCTTTTTGTGTTTACCGTCAACAAACAATCACACAAAAAAAATGTTCAAATATTTACTCAAAACACCCATATCTATTACGCATTCGTGCACAAAACACATTGCATTAGAGGGAAAAACAACAACAAATGAAAAAACGTTAAACGTTGAACGTTACTATTTTTAAAACACAGCGAGTTCGATGATAATGAAAACATGTTTACAAATGGATTTTTGCTGTATCATTTGTACGAAGAAATGATAAACAAAAATGAATCAATATTTAGTTTAGATATATGTAAACAACAGGACACAGTTTGAGGAAAGATATTAAAAATGTATGCTTTTTTTCTGAATTTCAGTGGCGAAATTGGCCAAAGAGCAAATTTGGCCGTTGGTCTCGAAAATGGATGAAGATAATCAATTGGACCCATCTGTGATAAAGACTTTGTTTGATAACGGACTGATGGGCATTGAAACACCAGTTGAATTTGGTGGCAGTGGATGTAACTTTATGACATCGATGTTGGTCGTTGAAGAGTTATCAAAGGTAGATGCATCCGTTGGAGCCTATGTGGATATTCATAATACACTTGTAAATAATTTAATGCTGAAAGTTGGTAACAAAGCACAAAAAGCAAAATATCTACCGATTTTGGCGCAACAAGCTTCGGGCAGTTTTGCATTGACTGGTGAGTACCATTTGGTGTTGTTTTAATGAGCCAAAGTTATTTTTCGGTTTTAATCAACTTGCAGAACCTACGTCGGGTTCGGATGCATTTGGTTTGAAGACAACAGCCAAACAAGATGGAGATTATTATGTGATCAACGGTACCAAAATGTGGATTTCCAATTCCGGTAATATATTTTTTTTTCGATTCGTTCAAAAAAGTTGGAATCGTTTCTAAACATTTTGTTTTATTTCAGATGTTTCGCAAGTGTTTTTAGTTATGGCCAATGTCGATCCATCAAAGGTATACCAATTGAAATCAATTCGTTTCATTCGGAACGTTTCATTCAAAATTGCCTTCTTTTTTTCTCGATGCAGGGTTACAAAGGAATCTCGACATTTATCGTTGAGCGCGACACACCCGGTTTTACTGTCGGTAAAAAGGAGAATAAATTGGGTATTCGTGCATCGGGCACGTGTATGCTTCATTTCGATAATGTCCGTGTTCACAAAGATAACATTCTTGGTCAAATTGGTCATGGTTATAAATATGCGGCTGCCTATTTAAATGAGGGGCGTGTGGGCATTGGTGCACAGATGCTTGGCATTGCTCAAGGTTGTTTTGATGCTACCATTCCGTACCTTCTCGAGCGTAAACAGTTTGGCAAAGAAATTTTTGATTTTCAATCGATGCAACATCAAGTGGCCACAATCGCAACACAAATCGAAGCCGCTCGTTTGCTCACCTATAATGCAGCTCGTTTGGTCGAAGCCGGTGTACCGTTCATGAAGGAGGCTGCAATGGCCAAATACTATGCATCCGAAGTAGCCCAAACGACAACAATCAAATGCATCGATTGGATGGGCGGTGTTGGTTTCACCAAAGATTTCCCACAGGAGAAATTTTATCGTGATTGCAAGATCGGTTCAATTTACGAGGGCACAACAAATATGCAACTGAGCACAATTGCCAAAGCCATTCGCAAGGAATATAGTGAATAATTCATGTCATAAACAATCATTTATTTGATAATAGCTTTCATGCATTTAAACTCTTCTCTTTCGAACAAAAAAAAATCACAATAAAGAAAATCATAAACGAGAGTGATATGTCCTTATTTTTGTTATTATCGCTGATAAACAGCAAAGTCGTATTTTAATCATTTTCAATTGAATAATTCGCATTAGCCACACGAAGAGACAGAGATACAGAGGTGGTGGCTCGCGATGTCGATGTATGTTTACATACTGACAATTTCTTTAAATGTCTATTGAGTTTGTGCAGCCGAGTGTATTTATGATCATTTTACGCTTGGAGCGTCCGCATAGCACTCACTCTCTCTCTCTCTCTCTCTCTCTCTCTCTCTCTCTGCCTCTCCATACCGATCGAATGTATGTATAGAATATGTGTATAAATACGCAACTATTATGTGCTATTTCTATGCAGAGAGTGAGACTGGTTTTCTTTGTCGTACAGAGCATACATACATGAGGGGCTATACTAACGCTTCTCTTACATATTATCAGTTGCATGAGGCAGTTCAAATCGTGCGGACGCATGAATTTTGTCGGCTCGTCGACTACACACAGATGTTGTTGTTATTTTGTGGTTAGTTTTTTTTTTTGCGTTGGAATTCGGAACGATCTACAGAAAAAATTCTTCATTTTCATAGCGAAGCATTTAACTAAAAACAAAAATCGTTTGGATATTGAATCGTCGTTTTAAAATTTGTGTTTGATCAAGTTATCATCAAACTATTGCGTGTGTATTATGATCAATAAAATAGCGAGTTGGTTGCGTGTTTGGAATGCTGATAAAGCGATTTGCTTTTTATTGGTTTAAAAAGTGATAGTCGAGATTAGTAGAAGTTCAATCGGATAATTGCAATCCATTTGACCAAGACACACACGCGCCATACACCGACATTAGAAACAATGACAATATAAAAAAAGAGTAAACAAGTACAAAATGGTTTTCAAGTGATAAATTCGTTGTTGAATGCGATTTACAAAGAAATTTATCTGAATTGTGGGCCGTACAAAAAACAATTGGCATAAAGACGTTGTCTAAAAATAACCAATTGCCAGATTAAATGAAGTCACACACCATACAGCCATACACACGATCGTCCCCGTCTTTTCGAACTTATTTATCTACAACACACTCAAACACTCGCAATTGATTTTATCTGATCGATGAAAGAAAACGTAAATGGTATTCAATCGATGTAAATCTCCAACAAATGTGTACACATTACAAGTGTTCTACTGACAGTTGAATATTTCTTCGTGCAAAAAACAAACACACATGACTTCTGCTTTTTGTCAACAAAAAAAAACAAACAAACTCATTGTTATTCAAATTGTTGTGCTGTGTTGTGTACAGTTCACGACAAGTGAAAGAAAAAGTAAAAAAGCAAATCGATTCCGATCAATCGATCATCTGTAGCAGTAGCAACGCCAAAAGCTAATTGCTGTGAATTGATGTGCCATTCAATAATTCTATTAAACAATAATCAATTTGAATGTGAATTGATGTCGTAAATCAAATAAAGCCAATAGTGTGACTGACGAATATATATATAAAAAACAACAACATAATTTACAAACTGTCAAAATCCCACACATATACGTCGATCTAATGGAATGTGTATTAGTGGCTACTCAAACGTGATTAAATACGGTATTTACTTGTGTGGACACAATGATGTGGCTTAGCGTGTGCTTTGTTGCACGAAATGGTCATTTGATTTGATTTAATTTGAGTGACTCAATTTCATGTCATTGCAAGTGAATTATTCTAAATTAGTCTCTAGCCACCGACAAACTACTTTCACAGCGTACAGCACAAACATAAACAAAAACCAACTTCAAATTGATCCTAATCATGGTAAGTTCAAATGTCAATTTCGTTAAATAAATTTTGATTTATTTTGGTGTTTTTAATTCGGTTGCTTTCTTCGTTGCACAAACAGTTCTTTTAGTTTTTTTTTCTGTAACGATTTACATTAAAGAATAAACACGTTGACAATTCATTTCCGCAATTCATGTACGTCACTGCAACGCATTCACCGAATGTCTGCTACAATCTAACTGAATTGCGTTCACAGATATGTGCGATTACTTCGATGAAATATCTCACACACATTCCCGATGTCCATGTGTTCTTGACATTCCTTTGCTTTTGTTTAGCAACATGATCAATCAACCATAAATACGGCATGCATAAAAGTTATTTAGCGGGACAATGTTTGATTTCACAATTATGACATTTCGTTTTTAAATCTTCTTGTTGTTGACACGTTTTTCTCTCTTCTTCTTTTGATTTCGTTCTGAATTTTTTTTCATTCCTATATATATTTGTCACATTCAAGCTTAAATATGAGCTAATAATTATCATATTATTTCAATCAATACCAAAAATTTACCACTTTTTTACGTCTTATTCTTATTGAGTGATTTTTTTTTTGCCATTCCGATTTGGTATGTCCGGTAGAAAAATGATATTTGTAGGCGATAAAAGTCAAACAAGTCAGTCCCATGCCACCCTTGTATTTGTGCGATAAATTTTCTTTTTTGTTTCAGTTTAATTAATGTCAACGAACAAAGCAAATTCTAGCTATAATGCATATATATATTCTAAATGTAATCGTATGAACACACCTTTGTTATCGACATAACGATATTATCCGAGTGCAATGAACGAAGTATCCATAAATTATTATCAATATCTATGTGTTTTATCATTAAATAGGCACACAGAGCAATATACCTGATTGGAATATTGGTGATTGGTTCTGTGACATTGGCGACAGCTAGAATGTTTGAAGAGAATGTAGTTACCACTACGACACAAGCGTTCGATAAGAATGTGGAAGCACCACCGCAACAGCAACCACTACAACATCAGCAACAATTGAATAGTACGTGTTTTTATGCCGAACCAGAATTGTGCCAGCAATTTAATGAGAGTGAACCATGCAAAGAGTGCATGCCACATCCAGTCTATAGCAATTCATTGGTGTGTTGCAATGTGACCGATCTCGAAAAGGCAATTTCATGCGTTGAAAATTTAAATAATGACAATAAAACCGTTTGGACAAATATACACATTCGCAATGCAACGCTCGACGAATTAGATATTTCGACGAAATTATGGAAGCTACGAGATTCGCTCGCAATTACGGACGGGAAAATTAATCGAATTGTTAAAGAATTGACAAAGTTTTCGCAACCAAAATGTTTGAATATGTCGAACAACAGTTTGCAAAGCATTCCAATGAGAGCACTGAAGGATTTGACGAGACTTCAAGTTTTGGATTTATCGCATAATAATCTCACGAGTATACCCAATTTGAATAATTTAAATCTAGCATTGGATGCACAGTAAGTGACATTATATTTAAAGCAAGACCTCGAATCGAGCTAACTGGACGAGTGCATAGTATAAGATGTGCTGTATCCATCAGCTAATGTTCAATAGTAGCAGTCGAACATTTAGCTTGAGTCAAGATCTATCTAAAAGAAAGGAAAAATCATTAAAAAAACCTAGTCTAAACGTTTGTTGGGTTGGAAAGCAATTAAATTAATTCAATCTTTATCTTTGCAGTGGTAATAACGGTTTGCTGTGTAAAATGGTTTTGGAGTCAATTGAACGGGGCAATGTGACATTTATCGAAGCAGATTCGACATTCTGTTTGATGAACCAGACATATGGATTCTTTAATTCAACCGACTCATTGCCAATTCGGCAATTGGAGAAAATGAAGCAAATGAATGCAGACTGTCCCTCCATACCGGGTAAAGGAAATTGTACATGCATACCAGAACAAATGGCCATTGAATTGAGAGAAGATGGTGCACACTCGGTATTTTCAGCCAAGGTCGATTGCTCGAATTTGGGTATTAAACTATTTAACTTGACATATTATCTGCCAATTTCTATATTTTTTTTAATTTTATTTTTAAGGTTTAACTAGTTTGCCGAAAACTCTACCAGAAAATACCCTTACACTGAATGTAACAAATAATGAGGTGAGTTGCCAAACATTTACGTTGGAAATTCGAGATAAAATTGATTTTTACAAATTCCAGATTACGAGCCTTTCCGCAATGACAGAAAATCCATCTTATACACATTTGGTGCGATTATTTGCCGATGATAATAAAATTGAGTCACTGCTCGATTTGGAGGGAACTGAGTTTATACAAAAATTTGACATTTTTCATCTACGGCGAAATAATTTGAAAACGGTACATACGATGACATGAATGTGTTATTTCAATCAAATCTGATTTATTCCGTCGATTTATTCACAGATACCACACTATTTGCTATCATATTCTCTGGACCGTAATCCGGAAGGACGAATCTTATATTTGGAGGGCAATCGATTGAACTGTGACTGTAATACTGCTAAAACAACGAGGGTAATTTTTTAATTTATTACAGCAATTTGGACTCATTTCAATTTTTTTGCCGAAAATTTCATTGTTTGTACCGATTTTCTTGCAGATCTGGTTATTGGCTCGAACAAATCATATACCTGATGCCGAGAATGTAACATGCGATAATATGCCAAAAAAAGTGGTCGACTTAGTCGAAACAAAACTATGCCAGTCACCGCACGATTGGACGGATTACATTTACTATTTGATAGCCGCAGAGGTGCTGCTGCTCATTGCGATAATTGCAAAAGTCTCATACGACTACTGGGTACGATTACCTACATGCACTTTTAATACAATCAAAGCTCATCCTTTTACTTTTTTCCAAAAAGGTATTCAAGACAGCTGGATATTTGCCGTGGCCTGCGTCTGCTATGCCAAAATTGCCATGCGATTGGCTTTGTGAAACGTGATTTATATCTAGTGTGCCATAGATGATAAGTGATAAGACAAATTGCCATGTTTAGTTTTTTTTTTCAATGACCAAATTCTCAGTAACTATAAGTTGAAGTCATATATTATATGATGAGAAAACTAGAGTTTTCTATGTAACTGTTGTCATATTTTTTTATTGGAAAATATAAACACTTTTATTAACAATCAAATGTGAATTAACTGACAATTTTCTGTTTCTTTTTTATTACTTTTAAACTATTTTCGGTGCTTCCAGGTGCTTTGCGTTTGCTTGGCAATTTAACGAATTTACCGGGTGTATCGTTTTCTTGTTTTTCTTTTGACTTCCCATTACTTTGTTTGCCCTTCTTCGGATCATTGCCAGAAGTTTTCTTGCCAAACTTTCCTTTCTTTTTCAGCATTTGCTTTGGATTTTGTACAGCGATGTCTTGTCGTTTCGGAATGGTCTTCTCCAGCTTACGTCTCACCTTCTTCGACTGTTTCTTAAACGTTAACATATACTCTGGTACTTTGCAGCCCGAATTTCGTAAGATGTTCGCAATACTTTTGAGTTTGGGCTTGTCATCTTGCGTAAAATAGGTAATGGCCTTTCCTTTACGTCCCGCCCGACCTGTTCGGCCAATCCGATGAATGTATGAAATAGCCGACGGTGGAAAATCGTAATTGATAACCAGATTAACCCCAAGAAAATCGATACCACGCCCAATGAGCTCGGTTGAGATTAACACCCACACCTTTCCTTCGCGAAAATTTTTTACCACATCGTCACGCTGTTGTTGCGTTCGATCTGCATGAATCACATCCACATTTATGGCGTCGTAAATGAGCTCGGAATACAATTGTTGAGCACGATCCTATCGGAAATTATAAAATGTTTGGTTTCAGCGGATATTGAAATATCGATTGGATGAAAATATGAACTTACTTTGCTGTCAACGAAGACAAGTACCGGTGGCTTTAAACCTTCACGAAGCATGTTACGGAAGGCTACCATTTTCCCCGACTCATTACCAACGAATAGCAGCTCTTGATCGACAAGGTCCGTGGCCGAGTTTCGCTGACCAATTGAAATCGTACACAGATTGTTTGTATTCTTTTTGCCCCATTTCGACACTGGCATCGTCCATGTGGCAGAAAATAATCCAACTTTCACTTTTCCACTACTACAAGCCGCATGGATCTTATTAAATTGATCACGAAAACTATTTTTGCCCTCCTCGAATAATTTATCGGCCTCGTCCAATACAAGCCATTCAACACTGAAAATGTCACAATAAAGTTAACCAAGTACAAAATATGATAAATAAACAGCGTCTTACTTGCTCAAGTCCAGAATCGGTGTTTCTTTCTCCAGCAAAAAGCATACACGATTTGGTGTTGTTATCAGTATATCGAATTGTTTGTTGCTTTTTGGCCCGTATTTTGCTTCGGCCTGATTGATTTTATTGAGTGTGTGCACCTTTAAATCGATGCCATCGACGAGTCGTTGACATTCTCTTTGGGTTTGCTTGGCCAATTCACGCGTCGGGCAGAGAATTAAAGCTCGAAATCCTTTATTTTTAGGCTTCTTCAAATCTCGAATAATTGGCACAAGAAATGCGGCTGTTTTACCACTGCCGGTTGGAGCGCATGCCATCAATGATTTACCCTGTAACCAATTCGAAATTTAGTGAATTTTGTAACGGGCCGTTTAATGTTGTGAACACACTTACACTGCTCATAATCGGAATGGCTTGCATTTGAATGGGTGTTGGCTCCTTGTAGCCACACGAAATTAGATTATTCACGATTTGTCGTGGAATCGCACAGTCATTTATTAATTCATCAAAAGTCTCAACGGGATCAGCCGGATTCGTACCATGTACATTGATATGGTATTTATTTCGTATGTGATTGACCTATTGACAAACATCAGAGTTTTAGTATTTATCCTGAATCCGACAAAAGATCGTTTCTCATTGTACCTTTTCAACGTGGAGCATTTTCTGTTTTTCTTCCGAAAAGATCTTCTCTTTCTTTACAGCATTTGTTGGTGTGGTCGTCTCTTCAGCTATTTCATCCTCAACTTTAATTTCCGACTTCAAATTTGAGTCGAGTGCCACTTTTCTCCGCTAAATCGTACAAAAAGTATAATTAAGTAAAATAATCAAAAGAAATGCAATGTAAAGGCACAAACCTCTGGCTTAAAAACCGCTCCGACGGTTAATTGCTTGAAAATTTCCTTTGTATTCATTTTCAAGTATTTCAACTAACTTATCCAGAAAAAAAAGAAAAACTATTTAGTGATGGAACGCTGTTTTGTTTTCAATTCAATCGCCACATGTGTCTCATGCACACTGTAAACTGTCAGTAACAGTGCATTCTGTCTAGTGTCAAATTGATGCGTAAAATGCTTGACACGAACGCACCCGTTACGTATTTCGACGAATGTTTGACATTTCAGTTTGACTCTTTGAAATACAACGGTTTAGTTAGGCTTTGTTATTAAATGAAATACACACAATGGCAGCTGACCTATAGACATATTTGTGTTTGTTTTTATAAAAGAAAATTAAAATTGTTTGTGAAAAAATGGCCGGTCGAAGTAAATATGATGAAGTGAAATATTTTGTATTAGAATGTAAGAAATATGTGACGGCGATTCAAAATTATACTGGAGACGATTCATTGGCACCTTGGTACGACTATTTACTATGGATGGAAGAGAATTTCGTAATTGATTTCCAGAATGATACGATTTTTCATGATATTTTGGCAAAATGTTTATGCCAATATGAGAGCGAGAGGAAATACAAGCAGGATCGACGATTAATTAAACTTTTTATCAAATTTGTAAGTGTGCAGAGAAGTAAACTATGCGATGAACTGTCATCAATTCAAATCAGTTGAATTATAAAATGTTTAATTTTTTTTTCCAGATAATTGTCCAGGAAGAACAAAACTTGCATTATGAAACGATGATATCGAACGGATTTGGCACTGAGGTGGCCGACTTGTATATAAATTGGGCCTTTCATTTTGATGTGAACTCAGATTTTCACAAGGCCGAAGACATTTATCAGCGTGGCTTAAGAGTTCGAGCCAAGCCATTGGAGCTATTGGAAGCGGCTCATAAAGAATTTGGCTATTCGATGTCACAACGAATGCTTCATCAAGCGAACGAAAAATTTCAACTTGAACTGCAAGAACAAATGCAAATACGATTCAACGAAATAGCAGCACTTCGAATCGACAAAACCGCACCAAAATTTACCAAATCAGCAGCATTACAAATGATCGATAAAGATGAATTGATGAGTATTTGCATACCATTTTTTGGGGCAATAGCGACTCAAACACCAGAAAAACAACAAAACACATCGGTCGCTAAGAATATCATTGACAGTGCTCGGAAGATAATCGATAGTGCACGAAAAATACGCCGTGAAAAAAGTCGCAAACTAATCACGTCCGCTTGTCGATTGGATTTCAATGAAAACGCATTTGAACCGACACAAGTGGAGAATTCATATGAACGGGGCATTCAATTGGGACGAAACTTCAAGTCAAAGAATCTCCCACAAAGCAAACCACCGCCCATTTTCTATAACGATGATATGATCGATAAATTTCGTGGTGAATTACCGTCGTATGATAAAATTATTTTGATTCCTCGCACAAACCTCGCCTTTTCACCCGACGAGTTTAAAGCATATAATTGGTTCAAAAAACAGGGCATTGTGAATGATTTTACAAAAGAACAAGATCAATTCTGGGGCATCGGATATGATGTACCCATTCGTTGGGCAAACGTTTTTCCACGAAAAAATTGGCCACAATCGGAATGGATTGTGCCACGTATTTCGACGGTTGAATTCGAAAGTGGCCCGCATAAATTCATGTGTCATTTGGCTGAACTTTATCCGAGCAATTCAAGTGAAGAATTTTCTTTTGAAGAAATTATGTGGCGAAAACGTAAAGCCAAAACAATAAAAGCAGTTCAACATAAGAGAGAAAATAGTATATTGAAATGTAGTCGCATACTAAATCGAACAAACAGCACCGATCAAAGTAAATTGTCGCCAATTATTGAAATGGAACTGTCCGGCTTTGGAAATGAATGGACGGCAGGACCACAAAAACGACGAGAGAGTCTACAACGAAATACAACAGAGCCATATAAAAAACGAAAATCATCAATTTTTCCAACATTTGACGCATTGAATGACACCTGTACAACGCAAATGTTTAGCAATTTATTACATGGCTCAGCGATAAGTACACCAAAAACAAAAATGCCCAAATTTGACGTCCAAAGTTGGCTGGATGAAACCAAAATGAAATTATTCAATGATCAATCGTCCGAAATAGTGTCTGACGTGAATAAACAAGTGGAAAAAGTGAACAAAGCCAACAATCAACCAAATGATGCGGGTTTTGCGATATATGAAGATAGAACGATGACATTGCATGGCATCAAAAATGCAACGCGTAAAGATACGATGAACGATTTAACCATTGGAAACAAAGAAAATATAGTTTTAGCCGAAAATCAGCAGTTGAATGTGGATCAATCGAAATTCGAATCGAAAAAGTGTGAATCGACTGTGATGAACTCAACAGCACAACCGAATGAAAAACGAAATGAGAAAGACACTCTTCAACCATCGAAAGACTTTCAATTCAATATTTATACGGATAAAACTGACACAATGTTGAATGCAATTGAAAATGCACGAAAATTATTTGATTGTGAATTATCGATTCAAAATAAAGAAAATATCCAAACGGAATCGAATAGTGAAAAGGGAATTTCTACGACGAATAGAATGAACGCTACGAAAGCCGATGTCGAATCGAAAAATGTCACCAATAATAATGTAACACATCTAAGTCAACAGTCGATTTTTAAAGAACCAAAACTTCCGCCGAAGAAAACCGAATCGGGTCAAAGGCCAAATGAGACAACATTCTTCGAAATATTGGACACAACCGAAGAATTTGAACAGCTTGAAGCACAATGTGCCAACTCACCGAATCTGATACAAAAATCAGATGATTTGGCACCATTGGAGCACAGTTTCGCCAAAAATGTCATCATTGGAGCAGCCAACAAGAGTAAGTTCAATCATTCTAATCGCTTAAGCATACAGATTACTGAGACAGAGCGATTGCATATACTTAACAATCCATCAGTTAACGACCGAACACGATTGAATTGGACACAACAGCCATCGATATGGGAACGGCCGACGGAAGAAATTCCAGCACCACCACTAGTTGATGATAGCAGCGATGATGACGTCGATAATGAATGTATTGGTCAAAGCATTTACATCAAAGAACCGGAATTGGAATTTAATGAAAAAGATGCCGATTGGAAAGAGGTGACGATATTTTTGGCCGATACTACTGCAACAAATGACTATAAACTGGAAGAAGTTCATTTGGATGAAACACGACATCGTTTGGATACATACACACAATCGATAAATATGAAAGAATTGAATCCATTCGATCCAGAATTGCAGAAAGACGTTCTTACCGCAATCGGTTTTTTAGACCAATTGAATGGCGCCAACAATTTTAATTGTACACTAATGAATATAGTAAAACCATTGAAACCAAAATCATCCATTGAAATAAATAAGCGAAAATATCAAATACGAAAGTTGATCGGAAGCGGGGCATTTGGAAAAGTATTTTTTTGTGAATGCACAAAAACCAAAGAAATGTTTGCATTCAAACAGCAAAGGCCGCCAAATTTATGGGAATATTATGTGTGTCTTCAAATTCATGAACGTCTTATGGACGAGAGTATTGTAAGTATTTTACTTTTTTTGTTTCTTTTACCTGTTTTCTCATCATCATTCAATATTTCAGCGAAACGGATTTATGACGATCGATTTTGCCGTTATCGGCAATAATGCAACGATATATGCATCGAAGTTTTCAAAATATGGCACCATTCTGAATGTATGCAACAAAGTAAAACAAGAGACCAACAAAAGTATCGAAGAGTGCATTGTGATGATTCTAGTAAAACAAATGCTTACCATAGTGGAGACGTTTCACAAATTGAATTTCATCCATGCCGACATCAAACCCGACAACTTTTTGCTAATGGATAAGTGAGTATTCGATTTGCCAAAGTCACAGACATTCTTATTCTAATCCGGTTTTTGTTTTACTTTCAACCAGACTAAGCATGAACTATGAACATCCCGATATAGTGCTGCAGCTCATTGATTTTGGTCAATCGATCGATATGAATTACTTCTCGCGTCATGTCTTTTGGGCCAAAGTCAAAACAGAGAATTTCATTTGCACTCAAATGATGGAAGATAATCCATGGACATTCCACTGTGACCTGTTCTGTCTGGCTAGTACTATCTACACAATGGTGGCTGGCAAATATATGGTCGTATCTCGTCGCAAACCAACCGATCCGTATAAACCACAAAAACTACCGCGATATGTAAATGCTAAATTGTGGGATGAAATCTTTGACACCCTCATTAATGTACCTAATAATGTATTTCGTCTACAAAAAATGCCATCGCTATCGAAATTAAGACAGTTACTAGACAATGAATTGAACGCAATAGGTGCGAAAAAAGTGACTGAAGCCATTGTCAAATTCAATAAAGCATTAGATTAGATAAGCATCACATCATATTTAACCGTTTTTGTATACAAAAGGACATTTAATATAAAATCTTTAATAAACTAATAGATCTGTGTAAGCGTGAAACTCTAGTTTTATTTTTCAGTTCGAGTGTAAACAGTACTCTCTGTCGATTTATGTACGACGTCAACATCAAGTAAACATTGCAACTGTCATTTTTTTTCATTGTGTATTGGTGTGTGTGTGTATGTGTCGAATGAATCGTCTTTTTTTGGCAGCGCGCGATGCTGTGTACAGTTAAAACAAAACGAACTGCTAAAGAAGACGCACTGCTTAGCATGCGGCTGTATTTTTTATTGAAAAGTTGAACTTTGATATTTTAAACCAATATTTTTATTGAAAAGATGGCATGTAAGCCGCAACATAAATACGATAATTTTAGTAATTTTCTGTTCCAATGCAGTAAATTTGTGAATGCAATCGAGAATTATACGGGAAATGACCGATTAATCCCTTGGTACGAGTACATATTATGGCTGGAAGAGAATTTCGACATCGATTGTCGAAAGGAAACCATCTTTGAGCATATTTTGGCCCGTTGTTTGCGTGAATTTGAATTTGAAGAACGATACAAACAGGATCGCCGATTAATCAAATTATTCATCAGATACGTAAGTTTTGTAAGAACATTGAACCGTAAGACTGTGCCGTTTTCAAAGAACAATCAAATTCGTCATACAATATACAGAGTAAATTCAGTGTTATTGTTCGCCCAACTACTTTGACATTTCTATTTCGATTAATTGCTATGCTTTTTTTTTAAATACATTTTCAACTACGTAGATTAATTACCAAGACGACCAAGATCAGTATTACAAAATGATGGTATCGAAAGGGTATGGTACACGAGTAGCTGATTTGTACATCAACTGGGCATTTTATTTCGATAAACATGGCAATTTTTCAAAAGCCGATGACATTTTTCGACAAGGTTTTGAGTCATATGCAATGCCAATTGATCAGCTCAGATACGTGCACGAACAATTTGGCTTTTCAATGTCACGACGAATGCTCTATCCTCCAAATCATCACCATCGTCATGAAGATGAATCACGAATGAATAAGCTACGCGAAGAAATGTCTGTGCTTCGCATTTCTGGAACCATTTCGAATCATTCAAAGTCATCAGCATTTCATCTGTTTGATAGATCGACACTGTTGACCAAATGCGTTCCGAATGCAACATATCAATCCTTATCACAAAACGTACACGACACATCAATTGTACTTCAAATGAAGCACAGTTTGGAGAAAAAACGCCACGTACAAAAACAACCACCCAAATTATGTGCAAGTCGTTTTGATTTTTTGGCAAAAACATCGTCGGAAAGTACAAGCCGATTAGTTAAACCGTTTAATTATGATTTGCAACCAACAACGTCGTTTTTGAAACCAAGTCGATTGCCAGCAAAAACACCAATTAGCACAGCAAGCAATTATTTAGAGAGTAGCTCTTCATCTGGATACGAAAGCCTAACGCTGAACAATGACATCACATGTTCGCCAAAAGCAATTTGCTCGGACAAATGGATCACGCACCGAAAAAACTCCAAAAAATATGTTAAACCTTGCGATACTGATAACAAAATCTCAACGAAAAATTTACCACAATCCGAATGGAATGTTCCACGCATTGGGCGATTTAGTTTTGAAGATGATCAACACAAATTCATGATACCCATGGTGAACATTTATCCGAAGCATTCTGGTGACGAATTTTCACTTGAAGAAATCATGTGGCAAAAACGTAAAACCAAAAGTTTGCAAGGGAAAAATCCAATCAAAGCTAATGTGAACACAAATCAAACAAAATCGACGTTGGCAACCATTGTACCACTACAGATGAACAAATTATTGGCAGCAAAATCAAAAAAACAGCTACTTGATCGACCAAAAGCACCAATTGCGGGCATTTGGAGACAGAATTCACGTGAAGCTATCATCGTCAATGCAACCAGAGTGGTTAAACCGAAAGAATTGCGTTTTAGCATCGCTGATAACAAGGAAAATGAGTGTAATCAGTGGAAACAATCAACTCCAAAGAAATATAAGGCACAAAATATCGCCAATTTTATATCAAATCGACCCAAAGCAACTGACACCAAGCGTCCAAATGCGCCGACTGGTTTTTCCCTTATTAGACAGAATTCAACAGAGGTCATGACTCTTAACGCAAACAAAGCCAACAATTACAAACCGAAAGGCACACGTTTCAACATCTTTGAGGACAAGGAACCCCAAATTTTGTATAAAAAACAACAAAAAACATTGATTCCAAGAAAACAACGCAACGCTGAGCCTCAAATCATTGAAGAAACACATATCGAGAATAATAATGTGAAAAAGCGTCCGAAGGCACCTGGATTTTCAATTTGGAAACAAATTTCACGTGATGCAATTGTTTTGAATACAAGCAGAGTGACAAACGTGAAACCAAAAGAATTACGATTCACCATGTTTGGCAACGATGAAAACATATTCAATTCCGCACATCCATTTAAACCAGATGAACAAACAGGTGAGCTTGAAGATATTGCATGTGGTATGACCAAAAAAACGACAATTTCAAACGAGCCATCAAAGCTGATTTTGAGCCAACCGCTCCTTGATGTCTTCAAAGGGAGCAATATTTTGATCACTGCAAATAAGCAACTGATGGAATTGTACGATGAATCAACAACTATAGAACCAATTATGTCTAAGCAACCAACGACCTGTTCAACTCAGGCTAAGAAATCAGCACACAAATACACGTTTTCGTATGAGTTGCAAGAAACAACTGAAGAATTCGAGCGCCTAGAGGCAATGTGCACTGCTGATCTAAACATCAGAATCAAAACAGAAAAATAACATCAAAAATCTATCAAAATCCAATTGTTTAAATGATTGTAAATAAATTGTAATGCGACACAAGAAAATTTTAAGTAAAAAAATAAATTTTAAATGTATATGTTTGTATTGTAACAATTAAAAAAGCTCAAAATGTTTATACAAATTATCCATAATAAAAGGAAATTGATTTGGTTAATGCTTAAATGTTCGAATGTGAATTGAGTGAAAAATTTGCTGTGGAATTGAAATGAGATGAGTGATGACCACCGCGTTCGTTCATCTTTCGACTAAGACGATCAATCAGATCCAAGGAATATGGTAAGAGTGGTCGCACCGAATGTATCTCAAACACTGTTAAATTATCCAATTTGGCATAGGTACCGTCGCCTTTCATGAAATCATCCATTGACGTTCGTAATTTAGCCGCTCTGATGTCAATTATATCTTTGATTGCCGTTCGAATTTGCTCCGAATGTGCCACATCTTCAGCGGCACACTTTAGAATCAACTGAGCTTCGATCATGTAGTGTTCACTCGGCATTTTCGTGAATATTCTGTCGAAGTGAAAAAATGGATTTCAATTTTTATTTTGTGCATGAGAAAGACACTTTGAAAACACACATTCAGCGCAAAGACACAAACTTACTTCATTCGTTTTTCGGCTTCTTTGATCTCTTCTAAGATATCTTTGTCCATCCAAACAGGCGGTACAATGCGACACTTTTGTTGTTTTCGCAAATGGATTGCTAACCACAATGGAACTGTATGAACGAAAAATATGCACGATTTGATTAGTTTTGAAGTGAAAACAGAGACAGTAGGATTGGAAAAATGAAGAGAGATAAATCATTTTAAAAAAATCTATTGAAAGAGAAAAACCATTGCAAGAGAGTTATTTAGATTGAACAATTGAATTGATATAGAGTCGGTACCACATATTCTATGCCAAAAATTGTCAATATTGTTTGATATTTACCATGTACCGGCATTCCAGCACGAAATGGTCCAATCGAACCCGATATCAAATGAATGGCCTCATCGGTGAAATTCGGTATGATTCCAATCGTTTCATTCTCTCCAATAAATTCCAATTCACATGGTTCCATATTCTCAACTTATTTTCGCCTTTGAATTTGAATAAAGTATGTTTTTGTCGTAAAAAGAGTAAACAAAGTGTGTATTGTTTTGAATAACAATAATGAATGCGACATAAGTTTTGGCGCGATGTCATATCATAAATAAAGTGTCTAATGCACACAGAGCGACCTCTCGACAAATGACATTTCAATTAAAATGTTCATCTTTCAAATGGATTTATTTTTAATTTTTTTTTTCAATACACAATATTAATAAATGGTCTTATTCAAAAAGAAGATATATATCCATGTCTTTTACTTTGGAGTCAATTTCCATATTAAAAAAAGTTCACAGCGTATGAATTTTCAAAAGAGCAGTCAAACATACTAATGCAGTTTAAAATTATGAATTTGTATTTAAATATTCTGAAAAATGAGTTGCTTTAGGTCAAAGCCATTATTCCATATTTCAAATTTGGCATCTAATAGTGGATTTTTTGTATCCATTTCTTTCTGCATGCGATAGCCGTTGCGAGCAAAGCCAAAATCTTGATCACCTAAACGAAGCACCGGACAAATATCATTGACACCATCGCCAATGTAAAAAATGCGATCGTAAATCACATTACATCCATCTTGTTGATTGCGTACAAAATCCTCTAGCACTTTGCCTTTGCATAAATTTTCCGAACTGAGACAACATTCGGTTTGATGGTGGAACGGTTGAAGCAGCAACACATCATCATCGTTGAAATGCGCCTGATTGGTGTATATGTGTTTTATGTATTTACCAACATCGTTGTGATCACACCAAAACTTTATGAACACTGAATTCGAATCGCTGATTACGATTATGTCCACATTGCCAGTGTCATTTAGCTCTTTAAATAGCGTCTTTAGGCCGGCCACTTCGGGTATCGCTTCAATTGCGTCTTTTATTTGCGATTTTGTAAAACCATCCTTGTGCAGTAGATAGAAAATCTCTTGCATGTATAGAATCCAACCGGATTTTTTGTATAATTTTGTCACTTCATCGGTGATTTTACTCTTTACCAAATCACGGACAACAATATCCGTATTATCGTCGACCACCGTATGATCAAAATCAAATGCAACTAATTTTCGATGCGTACCATTTGACGGTAATTCTCTTGATGACCGCTCCTGAAAAAACATAAAATCGTCTTGAAATTTTTCACAGAAAAACTGCATTTTAAGTGCGGAAGTATACCTTTAAATTGAATGTGGACATTTTTCCTGTAAAAAACACCAACAATACAAATAACACCGCCGCTGCACTGGATTGCATCAAATTATTTTGAGTAAACAAGACTTTTGTTGTATTGTAGAAAAAAATCACATTTGACAATAAGTGTGTGTAAAACGGGGTGCGTTCATAAACGTAAATCTCATCGTACATGAAGTGTCAATTCAGTTGACTAAAGACAAAATTTTGTTGTGATAAAAGCATTGGTCAATTTGTGAAATTTAAAAATGTGGCCAATTATTATGGGGGCTTTGCGCCGGAATGCGCCATTTATTACCCTTCCGTTTGCTGCTGTTATAGGTTTGTTTTGACATCATAGGTAATACCAAAATTAAAGCTAATCAATTTCAACTTGGTTTCCATAGGTTTTATTGGTTATAAACTGGAAGGCATTCTATCTGACAAGTTTACACCGTACAATGGTAATTTCAAAGAATTCCAATGATCTTTTTAATTTGCTAATTTATGTATTGTTTGCACAGAATCAATTCAAGACAGTCGAGCCGATCGTTTGGCCAACGAAGAAATCTCCCACGATCCGACCAAAGTAGAAAAGCTCCGGCTCAAGGAAAATGTTTTAGAACGCAATTTATCACCTTCACTGCAAAGAAAATAAAAAATCCAACACAATCCATGATTTTTTACTGTTGAAATTGTATATTTATTGATTGTTATAGAAACCACTGGAAAGTGGAACATAGATGATGATTTACGTGCTTAAAAAATGAATAAATAACCTATTACAATGCTTGATATGAAAACTCAGCCATATACAATTCGTCATTTTGAACGAGAAAAAAATTATGCAAAATCCCAATTGTTTCGACTAAATTACAAATGCTTGTCGCATCTCTCAGTTCAATTCTATTGAGAATTGTAAATCTGGATCGAATCTTATCAAAAGTCTTATCAATAATCTTTCTTTTCGACTCTAACGCTCTGTTATGTTGTTCGGCATGGAGCAACAGTTTTTCGTGTGGCGTAAGTAAAAATGGTATCAATGTCAATGTTCCATCAGCAACTAAATAATATTCACTAGTTTTAATGGCCTCTAATTTCGCTTTCAACGGATTCATTTCAAATACGTAACTATTTTTTGTTTCATTTTCCTTCTTCGGAATCAGTACCAAGCTGGACTGTAGAAAACCGCTGACATCACACGAACATTGCCATTTGATTGGTGTGTACATGATATTCTTACCATCAGTTGCGGGAACTGATAAGTATTTCGATAGTGGTGGTTTGATTTGAAAGTCAGTTGTGCCAAGAGCACCAAAAACATTGTAAAATTCATACTCGCCAAATTCAGTGAATCGCTCGAACTGCCGCACATTTTGTTGAATCTCTTTTCCATTGGGAAAGTGAATAAAAACGTCTCTCTTCTGAGCGATTATGGCACATATCATCGTTAGAACTTTATTCACCGTTCCTTCACAGAGGATGAGAGTTTCTTCAGTCTGTTTTGAATCTTCATTGGTCATCAAAGAATATAGAAAAATATTTGTAAGTTGGTCGATTGTCGGCACATTTAAAGTGTCTAACATATTCGGAGTTATTTCACCAAAGTCTTCTATGATCAGCTTTAGTAACTGGAAAGAAAAATAAAAAAAACCATTATTCGCATTCAATAGAGAAGAAGTGATTGTAACATACATCCATGTTATACTTTGTAATTGGTAGTGCCTCCATCATTTCCTGTTCGACTATTTGGAAGTATGTCAATGATTCATTACTCTCATTTGTCTCTTGTTTCACAACAATCTTCGGTGTTTCGGTTTGTGAGGTGAAAAATTCATAGAAAAAACGATCTTCGTCCAAATCATTCGATCGATCGTCACCTTCTTCCTCATCAGCGTCCAATCTCTCAAGTTGTTCTGTTATGTTTGTTGGCAACACATTTTGAAGGACTTCCAATGCATTTTTTACAACTAACTCTCTCAGTATTTGACGATCCATTGCAAAAATGTCGCAGCTGTTGATTTGTTCCGAATATTCGTTTTCAATTCTAAAAAAATGAAATGATCACTTTAACATGAAAAATCACCTAAATGGCACTCAAAACATTAATTAGCGATAAACCGAGACCAAAGTCAAACATAAAAATGGAAAACAACAGACAAAACTCATTAGTGCTCCGTTCTAACGTAATGTCAATTTGTTCGTACGACTGCGTTCATGGTGTGTCATTGTTGCATTTAAAAGCCATATTCACTCTACGAATTGTCAAATGTTTGACGTTTATCGTTTGTGAAACTACGCTGCAAGGGACCCGAAAGTCAAGACAATTATTGATTTTTATTACTCAGTACGTTTTGTGTGGTTGTAGAAGTGCATTCATTTCATTGATCCAACTGCAAATTATTATATTTATTGAAAAAATTGACGAAAATGAATCGACGTCCAACGAGAAATACTCCGGCCAACAAACCATTTGTATCTGGTGGTGTAATGACAAATTTTACTGCCGCACAAGTTGTACCTGATCAAAAAACCGAACCTCTTCAAGCATCACCACAACCCAGTTCCGTAAGTTTTTTTGTATAACAGTCGCCATTTAATCAAAAAATTCCATAAATATATCGGATAAATCCGAATGAATAGCGTATAAATTGAGTTAGTTCAAATAAGTTCGTAGCCGTAATTGATTTTATTTAATGGTTGACTGAATTCCACGAAATATACAAACGCCAAAGCCATTGTCTATGCTTAACAAAGGAAACGGTAAATGCTATTTAAAAAAATAAAATAAAAAACAACAATATATATCTAGTTGAGCATAAAATGCAGTCACAATTTAAATTTAAATCCAAAATGGCGTTCTTGAAAACTTTACAATTTTCCAAACATTTCCAATCTCATGTAATAATTGAAATTTCTTAGAAAATTCTTTAAAGGCCTGAATGTAGTTTGTAAGTTTGTACAGTATATATTTGATAACAAATTTTTCTTTTGATGAAACATTTTTTCTTTTTCGCAAATAGTGTTGTTTGATTTTAATATCATTTATTTGTTTATTATTAAAAAAAAACTCATTTGGTGTATTTTTTCTGTAGCGGAAACATACAATCTTCTGCACCAACTAATCAAAAAGTGCACCTGAGAGATAATGAAAGATAAGTGGGAAGAAGATGGTGGTTGTTCGAATGTGAATAACACACAAAAAAAAGAGAGATGATGATAGAAAGAGATTAGTGTCGTGTGTGTTTCCCCCCCAAATTTCTGTTGTTGTCGTTAACAATATAATTTCCCTATAATACAAGAAATTATTTGCCTGTGTTTGTGTTTTTGAAATTTACTGCTGGAATGAGAATGAGAAACTCACTTGATTTTGTAGTTATCGTAAGCAATTCGCAACTCTGAACATTGAACGCCATTTTTATCTTGAGTTTTATTCCCATCTCGTTGGCCATATACGATTACACGATTTTCATTGCTGTAAATCGATCGATGCATGTAACCAAAAAAAGAAACTAATGCCAAAGCACAAAACATTCCATTTAGTGCTGTATGTAGTAGATTCAAGGGGGTAGACATGATTCAAATGATTCGTTGTAATTCATTTGTGATTTGAATGATTTGAATCTATTTGACAAGTGACTTTACAATACAAAAACAAAGCATAAAATTCTATATCAATATTTGTTTTTTTTTAAGCAAGCAAAAACCTTTTTTTAATTAAAAAAAATCAAGTTTATTTCGTTTATAGTTAAAACCAGTGATAGTTTTTTGCTGTCTGGATAGCGCTAGATATTCGCAGCGTCTGTCCAGCATTGCTGCTCAGATGCTGATACGATGCGTTCACCGCACGCCGCTTTGTGTGGTACAAAAAAGTGTGTTCCGCAAGCGGTATGCGGTGAACGCATCGAATCAGCATCTGAGCAGCAATGCTGGACAGACGCTGCGAATATCTACGCTATTCAGACAGCAAAAAACGATCACTGGTTAAAACACATTTCGAAAATATTAAATCTCTTTGTATTTTTATTCTTTAACTTGATATTTTTTTGATATAACATGCATGCAAACATCGATAGTCAACTTCACTGTAAAGTGTCACACGAAATGTCAAGCGGTGATTTGAAATGATTCGAAAAAATTCAAAATGATTTGAAACATTTAAAATTTACTCGCAATAATTCAAAGAGATTTTTTTTTCGTATAGATTTGTTCTTTTGGATTGCGTGTCTACCCACTAGAGTAGATTGAATATATATTTTCATTTGTTGGAGTGTTTTGGCTTTGATTGAATCGGTCGATCGATTTACTGCAACAACCAAGAGCAAATGGCTACGAATTTGAATAAAATGAATGAATAAAAATGTCATTGGATGGTCACTGGTTAGGTTAGGCGATAACTAAAAAGCAGGTTGAATTGGCATTGCACCCATGTGCACATTTTCCTGAAATTAAACAGAGGTTAATAATGATGTTTCGCTAGAAATTATATTTGTTAAGTAAAAAAAGAATGCAAAAAAAAAAAATGCCAGAAATAAATGTGACTGTCCTCGGACGTCGTTGCACATATCATCATGAAGCTTGCTTCTGATCAGCGTGTAATCACAATATTGGAAGACGGTCGATTCGGGCGGCATTTGTAGAAACTTCAACAAAGGTAATGATTCAGAGACATTTGATGATTCAGTGCATTTATGATCATGAATTGTACATTTGTTGCGTTTGCAACGGAACGACGTATACATTTATATATATAGAGAAAATCGATGTTCGATATTACATAAGTACATATGCGCAATGCCAACCTTCAGAAACAAAAAGAACACATCTAAAACTTGCAATTTTTTAAATTTTCTTCACAATTTACATTTTGTATTCATTTTTTGTGTATGCACTTTTCTAAGAGTTCACTTTTTGTTTTGCGACTATTTTCGGCCAAGTAGAACCTGGTTCAAGTGGATACGAATGCAAAGATCGTTCCTGAAACACCGAGCAGCGTGGAAATTAAGACTGAAGCTCAAAATATGGATTTCACCGATGTTGCCAGCGATAATGGCTCGGTAAATGGTCAGAAGCGTCGATTCATGCGTCAACCAATTCCCAAGAAAATTAAACGTTTGCGTCGCAATCGTCGCCTTCGTAAAATTCTAACACCGAAAAATGCATTGATGTCATTGCATGAACTGCTCGGTAATGGTTTATCAGAGTTTTCGATTTTGCCAGAAGAACGTGGATTTGTTGCGTCAGTTTTTGTCAACAACATTCAATACGAAGGAAGAGGTATTTTATTGAGACTTTGTCATACAATTTATTGAATTCGAGCAACAACAACATGCATTTTTGTTCTTTCCTTCATTAGGTTCTTCAAAAATGGCAGCTAAAAATGCAGCCTCAGAAAAGGCATTGCGTGATATCATAATACATCGCATGATTCAATCACCAAAATCTCAACAGCAAAAAATTGGAGATGCAGCTCAACCCGGCTCAGAACCAACTAGTATTAGTAAGTTCGTTGTACAGTGTGCATTCAATAATAACGTCAAACGTTTATAAAACTGTCATTTCCATTACAGCTGAACAGTTGAACCAGGATGTCGACATGGTTGATGGAGAAAATGATAGCGATGAAAGTGAGGTGCCAATGTTACATTTGGCATCGTTTGCACTTCACAAACTATTCACCGAATGGCAGGCGGAAGGATTTGAGATTCCAGACTTTAAAATTGGTGCAACATCGCCAATTGAAAGTGTGGCTGTTGAGAAAAGCGACCGTGCTCCCGGATCACCACCAAAACGAATGCAACTTCCAGAAAATGCAAATACAATGCATCCAACAACACTTTTGTGCATGGTAAATTCACATTTTGTCACGCAATTCAAACAATTAACTAACTAATGAACGGTGTAAATTCCATTTCAGATGCGTCCAGTCACAAAGTACGTCGATTTGGGATCAGAAGGTCAAGTACCGAATATTTTACATCGCGTTGGGGTCGAAGTTGACAGTCAACACTTCATTGGGTCGGCCAAGAATAAGAAGCTGGCTCGCAAGAATGCCGCGATTGATGCTTGCAATAAATTATTTGGAACGACCTTTGCTAAGGACGAAAACTAAGCACCTCTCAGAAGAGATGGAGATAAACTGGCTCAAATAGCACACAATTTTATCTTTAATTCCACACTTATTGCATTCAAGCTATATATTACTATACTCAATTGTATTCAATACGTACCAAACTCTTGGTATAACACTTTTCTGAATTTATTAGTATAAATTCACTTTCAAAAAATTACAATTTCAGCTCAATCTTTATCTCTGACAACAGAAAGTGCTTGCATGTCAACTCCATACAATATCAACCAAGCAATTATTGTACGATTCCACATTTTATGTATTTTGATACACAATAAAACGTAGTAGATTTATTGAAAATCAACAATAGCGGAATAGTATAGACTTTTGGTATTTAGGGATTTTAAACTTACCTTCAATAAAATAACCTGAATTTTTGAGATCCCACATAAATCAACAGACTTTTGAAATTTGTGTTTTCATTTTCATCTTTTAGCATTATACAATTCCTGATGGCAAGTAAAATTCAAACAAAATATTAACTTGCTTTTATTTTGTCTTTCTTTCTTGTAACTATTTTAATGACCGAAGATCAAAGTAAGTGATCTGGTTTATGACAATCACATATTTTAGTTATTGATTGCGGTCATCGGGTTCAAGACAGACATTTTTCTTCACTTTTTACGGCAATATCTAGCCATAAACTTAATCCCGATAAAACATTAAGTACGTCTATATCAATTTGATTGAAGCTAATAAAGCTTATTGAAACAACATTTAAGATGGCATTTTTGTTCCTACATCGGTTAGTAACCATGTGCAGATCATTCATGAAAATAGGAAGTATGCAATGGTTCTGAATATAAGATGATTCAAAAGCACCAAAGATACCATTGGTACGTGATGTAGTTTGATTGAATTGCTGCTTGCATGCATGTTTGGTCAAGTTTACCTTTTTCTGCTACTGTTCTCCGCTTTCGATTTACATTTCTTCCTAGAAAATGGTTTAATTATAATTCATAATTCAATGAATCAAGAAAAATAAGTTGTTGTAATTCTCATCCAGTTTATTTATTCTTTATTAATATGAAGTCTTTTTACTTAAACATTCTTATGAAATAATACATAATTTTGTTTGTTTGTTGTTGTTGTTGTTGTAATCAATTACTTGTAATGTGTTTATCATATTATATTGTAAGATTTTGTAGGTTGTTTTTTTTTTGTAATCAAAATTTGTCGTGGATTCTAATGTGTTTAGTTATAATTATGTGTGTTCCTTAAAAAAATCCAAAAAAAAGAAGATGTTAATTTCCGAAATTAAGTCGGTTAAGATATTTCCATTAGATGAGACAGTGTGAGTTAGGGTGAATCGCAGTGGTGACGAGATTCTTGAGCCGGGTTTGCACGTGAGCGAAAGAAATGGCGCATACACATCAGACTAGAGTGTATATGCTAAATGCCTAAGAATATGGTCACCAGTGCATGCCGAGTGCATTTGAGACAAAAGTCAAGCCAAATGCCAGTCGGCCCAAATGCAGTGGGCTGAATTTAATTTTAATTTAAAAAAAATGGCTACTCTTATAGCAAATTTTTATGTTGAGAAATTCTGGTTGATTCACTTAACTCACACGCGTGTTTTTTTTTTGTTGTAGTATGAATATTGTTTGTTTTATGTGGCTTTTCCTATATTATACATCTCTTACATTATTACAAGAAACTTCATTCTTCTATTTTTTGTTCATTTTCACGTTCTATTTTTAGTTTGTTACTTATTCGTGGTGTGTGTATGTGTGATTTCAATGTTCAATTCTCTTATCGATTCTTCATTATTTTTTTTTTGTTTTTGTTTTAAAGTTAAATGATTTAACAATTATACTTTAGAGTTGCTCACTTCATCGTTTTCATTCCATTCTTATGATTCCTATTTTTTATTTCTTTAATCTTCATTTTATTTATTTCAATTATCTTATTCATCTCTTTTTATCTGATTCGTCTCATGTATATTTTATACTTTTAATTATACATCTTAAAACTTTTTTTGTTGTTGTTTGTATTTATTTCTACAGAAAAAAAGTTTATTTTCAATCAAATAATTATTACTTTATTTTTTGTTTTTTTGTTTTAAATTAGGATCTACGAACAAAATACGCGCAAAAATGTATTTTATGTCGGAGGTAAGAAAAGATGAAAGTGATCTTATCAAAGGCGCGGCCATTTAAAAAAAAGAGAAACAAATGTTTTAACGAGCTCGAATTCACAGCTTTGCAATCGCAATTGCAACATATTCGTTTGAGTTTTGAGTTTTGTTCTTCTTTTTCTTCTTCGTTTCAACGTCATTTAAATGGCGAAGAAAAAAAGGTGTGCCGATTGCATATGGCTGTGTCAAAGCAAATCAAATTTTGACTTTTTCTTTGATTCGAGTTTATTTTGTCAATTGCGATCATTCAATCATCATATTTCCTTTTTACTTTTTGTACAGTAAAATATTTGTATTTCGAAAAGATAATAATAATCAAATCTTATTTTGATTCAATGAGTGAATTCGTCGCCGCTTATCGTTAAAAACACAAACTTTTTTTTAAAAAAAAATCTGTCTGAAGTATAATCATTAAATTTTTACACTAACATAATAATATTTTTATAGAACTTTTTGTGTTTTTATTTTTTATGAAATTTTTTTGTTGTTGATTTTTTTCTTTTCAAACTTTTTGTGTTTTCTCTTCATTCCTTAGTTAAACTTTATAATGTTGTTTTTTTTTTTAACTTCTCTGCCAATGCTGTGTTTGTGTTTAAATCTCTTAAACGATGTATTGTATTTCAATTGTGTGTGTTTCATATTTCTTCCTATTTTTTATTTAATTTAGTTTATTGTTTGTTCAATGATACGAATTTTCTCTACGAAAACGTTGTTTTTTTTTTGTTTTTCATCAAAAAAATTGTTCTTTTTTAATGCGAGTGTGTGTGGGGGGTGTTTGTTTTATGTGAGAGAGATAGAGTTTAAATCTAAGTCGTATTCATAAAGTTTTTGTAGCTGTGTGTGTGTATGTGTGTGTTTTCAATGATTTCTCTAATCGTCTTCTTCATCATCTTCTTCTTCCTTTAACTGATTCGGCACTGCTTGCTGAATGCCAACTGGTTGACCAACCGGGAGCCCCTTACATCTTGCCTTGTACTCTTGCATTTCCTGAAATTATTTAAAAAAATGAAATTCATTAATATTCTATGTCCGGAGTTTGGGTAAACGGTGTTTTGGGGTTCATTTCGTTTATGTTCACCCTTAAAAAATCGAAAAGTCCATCGTCATTTTCGAGGATTAAAATATTTAAAACTATCCATTAAAATTGTTTTGGATCTTAGGCGATAACATTGAATAGAATTTATAATAGGGTAGGGTGTTTTTTTATGGTCAACTTAGTTTGTTGGAGCTGCAAACAATGGCGACAGGTGTTGACTCAAAATATAAATAATAGTCCGAACAAAATTGAAATTAATGAGATGCATTTATGATGATAGACACGCAGAGCGATAAAATTCTGGCATATATATTTTTTATGGCGAAGGGTGTTTTTATGTTTGGTTTCTATGTATATTGTTTCGAAATTGAGGTGAAAGTACGATCAAGCATAAATTCTTTCGATTCAAAAATGAATTGATATTCGGCCAGAGAGAGAGAGAGAGAGGCATTGCATTCAAGAACGATACAATTGCTATGAACGAACATGTGAATGCACTTTTCAACTAATTGCTTTTAAATTGTTGCGAACTCAAATCAATGCAAACAAAATGAAATTGAAATATATGCGAATGCATTTTGTGTGTTGAAGAATTCTTGGTGCTCGGTCGGTCGTTTGCGCTCAAATATGAACCCAGTGATAATGTCATGAACACTGCACAACTGCTGATATTTTATTCGGGATTATGTAGATTTTGTTCGGTCGGTTTGGTTCGTTCGTTCTCTACATAAAATATAATTTCTTCGATTTTCTTTTACCCATGTACATTCAACCAGAAAACTATGGCGTCGAAATGTGTATCCGACAAGAACACATAATTTACGCGTTTAAAGGGTGCTACATTTATCATTCAAGAGTTATTTTCTCTGCAGTTCCTGCGCGCGTTCGCGCAACACGGTTACACCGAACCGGATAGATGTGGTTGTTGTTTTTCGAACGGAAAAAATTGTTGCAAAAATTAAGATATGACCGGTTTAAGTCGAACAGAAGAAGAAGAAAAAAATCCCGAATTATTTTCCTCGTCATTTTGGAATTCCCAAATCAAGTCGAAAAACACCAGCAAAATGCTGGTGCGCTCGCGAAATAATTCGAGCAAGTAGAGAGCAAGTGAGCGAAGAAAAAAATTATGCCAGTTTCACCCTGTGCATGGTAATAATGCCGATTCATTCTACCATGACAAAAACTCTGTGTGCCGCGCTGCTGTTGCTGCTGCTGTCGTACATAATGCGCTCGATTGAAATGGAATGGAGAGTGTTCAGGCAAAAGCGGTACGTGCTGTGTGTATAGTGCTGCTGCTGCTGCCTGCCTGCCACCGCACTATACCCGCCTGCCTGTGTATACATAAGCGGGCTCTAACTGATATTGATCATTTCTTGAGGGGGAAAATAAATTTATGTGCCGCTCTTCTCTCTTTTCGTAGTCAAAATTAAACGAATAAATGTAATTTATTTTACGTTATTTGCTGGCAGAAAATTACGGCCGAGCGACAAGCATCGAATGAAAATATATTAGTTTTATTTTCTCGGTCGACATTTTCTTTATCCGCTCCAATTTTTATTGGGAATATTTTTTTTTCTCCCTCTCGGTCGCTGAATAATGTTTTGGCTGGAATTTTTCTCCCTTTTGCCGTTTGTGTTCAACATCATTTTCAAAATTAGGTTTTTTGTTTTGTAAAAAAAAGTCAACAATTCGATTTTGACTGTAGCATTTGTAAAGTTTTTGCTCTCGCATATTGATTGAAAATACAAACGAACATGTTTTTCAGACGAATAGGTATGCCACGTTGTTTGGAAATCGAAGTAAAATGAAATTTATGGAATTGGTATTTAGTTGAAAATATACTTACTCGCTCATATCGCTTCTTGTCGTTTTCAGCCATAGCCTCGTATTTGGATTTAACGGTCGGCTCAACATCTGACCATTTCTTTCCCAATTCTTTGGCAATGTCACCAACACCATATTCGGGATTCAAGGCCTTAACCTTTGTGCGTTCATCGTTACAGAACCAGAAGAAAGCGGACCTAATCAAACCAAAAAAATAAATTTAAAGGAAAAATCGTTAGATGATGATTCATTGCTTGACCTCATTAAACTTTTTTTCTTTTTCGAATGATAAAAAAATATATAATGAATTAATGAAGTTGGCAATACTTACAGCGATCTTTTTGGAGCATTTGGATCTTTGATCTGCTTTCGCTTTTTACCGCGACCCAAAACAACTCCTTTTGGTGGCACATAATTTTGCATTTCTGAATCGTAACGAGCCTTATCTTTTTCGGCCATCTCGTGGAATCGCTTCTTTTCTTTGTCCAACATTGTCTGTAAAAGAAATAAAAAAAAAGGTCGGTTAATAAAAAGAAAATTGATACACGAAACAAAATTTGTTTAACAAAAAAAGATGTGGTTTTTCTTTCTCCTTCTGAATATTCAAAGAAAGTGCGAACGAATGTGGTCACTTCTAATTGGCGGTTTTGCAACATTAACCCATCAAAAAACATAATGTTTAAATGTTTTGAAATTTTTATCGTAAATTTATTGTCCGGTTTGGCCACTTAATGACGCTTGAGAACATTCTAACATTCTCGAGAAGCGACAGGCGAAAAATGTTGTATGCAAAGTTCATTCGCATTTCACGGAGCAAAAGAGACAAACACAAATCTGGGCTTAATTATATATTATGAAAGGAGTAAACGGAGAGTAGTGCACATCAGCCCAAAACTGCGAACATTGGCAATTTTAATCAAAATTACCAAACTCAACTAACTTGTTGTAGTTTGTTGCACGAACTTTTGCTGCTCAGTGTGTGTTGTTCACGACAAGCGAATTGCATGGTTTTTCCTCTTTCTATCTCTTTCTCTAGTTCATTTTGGTTCCCTTTGTGTATGTGCGTGTGTGTGCACTTTTCGTTGCACCACAACGAAACATTAAATCAGAATATAAAACTTTTAATTACTTCAAAAAATGATTTGATCACATGATTTACGAATGGAACTTCCGAAAAATGGCGTTTCGGGGCGAATAACTCATATGAAAATTGATTACAACAGTTTGTTAACTTCATCATTAATCCAATGGCGAAACGACGGGAAAAAGAGAAGAGAAACGCTCTACCCAAGCACTTTTGAGTGTGATTGTACCGAAAATGGATATAATAAAGAGAAAGAAAGATCCGTGATATTAAATTTCACGGAGCGCCTGGCACAAAAACTCAAGATTTATGGACAAAGTTTAGAACCGAAAATAGCTTCGAAAACTGTCGAAATTGCACGTGGAATATGTGTTTAGATTTTGATAAAACGATCCCGAAGAATTTTCGCACAACTGGCAACAATCGAGCGAGCGAGCGAGAGCGAGAGAAAGAGCAAAAGAAAAATCAATCAACAAAAACATCATTAGTTTGTTTGGAATAATGACTTTGGACGCGCTCACTCCTGTGTTATTTGTTTCGAACAAAAGTTGTTTCGCTAAAATCCTGTTCATTTTACGAAGTTTATCTAATCAGATTACTTTGTCTGTTGCTTCAAAAATTAATCACCTGGACAATGATTCAAGCCAAAAAAAAATGTGAAAAAATGAATTGAAGCCATAGAAGGGACAGAAATAAATAAAAATGCACATCATTCAATGATCTTTGTGAAGGTTAATTTTGTTAGTATTCTTTTTGTTAAATCAAAATCAACTTTCATTTGTGCATATTGCATCAAAATTCTGGCCACGAGAAAAACGCTGACTTGCTGTTTGCTAAAATTGACAGTCGCACGTTTTACGATATGCAAAAATATTATTAAATACGTATGAATAATCATTGTGATTTAGCACGATGTATGAATATGTGTAATGATATTTCACTTCATTATGATTCATGGATAGACAGACGAGAGATTTTATGACTGTCTGCATTCACAAACACACACACACAGAGATAGATACACACTCTCTCGCTGCGCGCACGTTGTCAGTTAATGGAAATGGATTTTTTATTTAGCAGGTCTGTGTGCTTATCTTGTTTATATTACGGGAAGAGCAGCAGCGTGAAAAAAGACATTTGAATACCCGTGAATCGGCATGATTGAGCCGGCTGCATTACAAAAAAACGAGAGAAACTCATCACTCATTCGATATCAATCGCACAAAGGACATTGGATAGACATGATGCAATATGATAAACGAGTGGAATGGCCACTTGAATTTGCGGCTTTTGAGATTGTTTTTTCATTAGTGTTATGAGGTTGTATCACCGATTGTATCGATTTTTATGGTTCGATGCTTGAGATCAATGCGATTCGAACGCGGAATTAAAATTTTTGCACTGCGGCTTTCTGCATAATTGAAACAAGAATCCGCGCACGCACACACACACTCTCTCTTTTCATGTTTCATTCGCGCGCGAAAGAAAAAATCGCTTTGAAAATTTATCGCTGTCATTTTAGACAGTCAATGATAAACGGTATCGGTGCAAAGAGTGAAAAAAGAACCTCAAAATCGATGCGAAATGAATTTGATATTGGTCTCTTTTCGCCATGGAATTCATGTGCGTACGAAATTGTGATGCGAAAAATTTGTTAAATAGCATAATAAAGATGGTAAAATTATCGACATTAAAATTCTTTATGGCTGCTAATGGGAATTTTCGCTAGTTTTTTTTTATATTTCGAATGTAATAAATTCTCATTGGAATGGTAACGACGCAGGCACAAACTGCAGGAAAAAAAGAACAGTAGCACCATTGGGGCCCCCCGAAATGGGATGAGCAAAGTGAAGTGGCTGGTGCTAAAATGCACACAAGGATGGACAGAGACACAGTGCCAACAATAGAAAGAGATGTGTATTTGCAACCCTATTCTCGATTATGGTAACCGGAGTAGAATACAAGCGTCGCGATTTAAAGTGAACGAAACAGAGCAAAAACCGTTCTCATTCCAATTTTACCGAAGCCATACCAAATTCATGCACCATCACCAAAACACATATATTACATCTGTGGAAATGCTTGCTTGCGCACACAAGGAACACTCCAACAATAGCAATAGCACATACTGGTGGTGGTACCGTTGCTGTTATTGTTGTTGTCGTCGACGACGACAACATCGTCGTAATCGTCGTCATTGGTGTTGTTGTTGCTGCTGGTAATGCTGTTGGTTCGTTCGCTTGCTGTGGATGGCAGCTGGGTGTGTAGGCACATCAATATGAAACAGCCACACTCACACACATACATACATATTGTGTGCATAGCAGACGGGTGCGCGTTCTCTTTCTTTCTCTATCTCTATATCACCATGCACCAATACACATATGTATTTTGCTCAAAGAACATTTATTTTATGTAAAAAAACGGCGTCGGCCGTTTTTCGAGGCACATCAAGTATGTGTGTGCGTGTTTGTTCGATTCGATCGTCTTTTTAACCACCGACCGACTCTCACATTCACTCTTTCTTTCCCTCTTTCTCTCTCGCTCTCTCTCTCGCACTATGTATATCGCGCGTATGTGCTGTATGTGTTTTGGCGTTGCTTTTGCACACTCTCGGGGGCTATATACTGAAAATTGTGTTTTCTCGACTCCGTATTTTTCGTACGTGTAGTGTGTGTATTTGGTTGGGCGCATTTCATCAAAAACACATCGACAAGGAGATGGGTGGCACCTATTTCGTTTCATTTTCGCTGAAGGGAATGCTGAATTTGCTTCGCACCGTCAGCGTCATACCATCTATCTACCGATTTGGTATGAGGTGAAAATGTGTATGTACATTTCCATCGAAATTTTCGAAATCACTTGTACTTTTTATTCTTGGTATTCCACTTCACAACAAACACGCTTCAACAATTGTCGGTTTTATTATTAATTTGCTAAACAGTTGAACTCTCAAGCTTAAATCGAATTTCTAATCGAACGAAAGATTAAAAATATTGTTATGCCATATGAAATTTAACGAGAAAACATTTTCAATATAGTTGGAAGAGACAATTCTTTCGAACCGACGAGCCGAAACATTTTTTAAAGTTTTTTAGAATGACAATTTGAATGAAAAAGAGAGCCTTTTTAGCCATTGAGCACAGGAAGTAGTTAATTTTTGGCCATGTCGAGAATGAGTGAACGAGAGAAAGAGAGATAGAGAGAGTTGATGAGGCTTTCAACGTGCAGGAATACTGAAATTCGGCTTCATCAGCAGTTATAGTCACAGCTCAACGCAATTATATTCCATTTTCGTTCTACATAGTAAAACAGAAAGGAAATACATTATGTACTCGAAAAATTTTCGTTTTTCCAAACAATAAATTTTCCTCGTTTCGTTCACTCCAAAATGCGAATCAAATTCGCTCGTTCAGCAACGAACAAAATTGTGTGTATGTGTAGAGCCTTTTATCGATTTTATTTGTACTCAAATGCGAAACACACCATGTTGAAAATGTTCCGTATGTGTGTGTGTTTGTATTGCGATGCCTAAATTGCCGAAGAAAGTTTCATTCGAATGTCGAGTTTTGAAGAGAAATGCGATATTACAACGAACGTAACAGCATTTTAAACAGGGAATGATCTAAATTTTGTCTATCAATTTAATTTTGTGCCTTGTTGAGATAACATTTTTGATTGGTTTCTTTTCTTTTTCAATTTTAATTTATTATATGCCCATTTAGCATAAAATTTCATTCAAACTCATCGTAAAAGGCAATGCCAACCGAAATGCACACAGGAAAAATGTCATATACGAAGCGAAAAGTTTGAAAAATCACCGGAACCTTAATGAATTGAAAAAAAAAAAACATGAGCTCTCTTGCCAAAAATACCAAAATCATGCGATGCGGGAAACTTACAACCGAATCGCGTAGAAACGAAATGAACCAAAAATAAATTTTATTTTCCAATATACGTCGCCCATGTGATGCCACAATGCAATAAATTTTAGAGTTCGTGGCAAACAAAAAAAAATGTAGAAATATCAGAATTGTCGAGAGAAAAAAAACCTCATTTCCACGAGAGAGATAAACTCAGCTCGGTGTGTGTGTTTTTAATATAGAATTGGTTCAGTTTCTTTTTTCGGTTATTTTTGGTGAATTTTTCCAACTTTTGCGTTGAATTATGACGGGCCGACTTTTTGTATTGTACATTCTGGCTATTTTTTGTGTGTGCACGCGTGTATGGGAGAATGTGAGAGGTTGACAACTCGTGTGCCTTAAATTCAGCCAAACGAATCGAAATTGAAGGTTTAGGTTTTAATACACACCGATTAAATGAAATCGCAATACATATATTTGAAAATGTCGCCATTTCCAGTTCATAGACAATGCGCCTTCGTTATTGTCGGCATTCGACGCGGGAAAATAATGATGAAAAAAAAAAGAATTACTAATTTAATGGAATTTCTCAATTTCAGCTGCAGCTATAAATCAATCGAGATTTTAATTGGTTTTAATTGCGATTCAAGTTTGGCGTTGATGATGTTGATGTTCGCGTTTGGCTGCTTTTCAATTTTTATGACTTGGCCATTTTTTATTATAAACTACACATTTTATTGATCAATTTATTTTCAGCATAAATAGAGAAATGAATAAAAAAAAAAGACTTTACGTTATTCCCATTAAAAGGATTGTGTTTTATGAAGAGATAAAAAAATGTGTGTTTCTTTGATGTGAGTAAAAAATGCGGGTGACATTTCCACGTGGTCGCTGTGACAAATTTCAAGCATTTTCTTTTTGTTCGTTGTTCTTTGAACCAGAAAAAAATAAATCAAGTTATATAATAAATTTTCGTGTGTGTGTAGTGTATATATGTTCTTGTGTTGAAAATGAGTCTCGTTTATTTCTGACAAATGCCACTTTTTTCTTTGAATTTATAATGTGGTTAATTTCTCAAATAAAACTGAAATAGCTGAAATAATGGTGCAATTTAAAATTGCTTTATTTCATATGGAATTTTTGTTGTTTGCTTTGTTTCTTCACCTTTTTTTTCATTGTCTCTACATTTTATTTGGCGTGCTAAATGCTCTTAAATTAGCAGTAATTAACCAATTCAGAAAAGAAACAATGAAGTGACGATGAAATTTTCGCTCTGTTTACTGTTACTGCTCGGTTGTGTGTGCAAGTGAATGTTGTCATGCGAAATGGGGGGCACTTTAAACAACATAATGTTTCAGTTGTTAAAAAAATATTACTAACACGTAATTAATTTTTAAAAAAAGCGAACGAAAAAATTTGAAGAAAAATGTATACGAAAAGAATATGGTGTGACTTAGATAATTTAAGTTGACACTTACCTTCCATCTTTCAGCGCATTTCCTTGAGAATTCGGCAAAAACAACTTGTTCTTCCGGATGCTTTTTCTTATGTTCTTCACGACAGGTCTGCACAAAGAATGCATAGGCTGTCATACGACCTCTTGGTTTACCATCGGCATGTTTGCCACGTTTGGCCGGTGTAGGTGTCTGAATCGGCTGCAGATGCTGATTGTTTTGATTATTTTGTTGATGATTTTGTTGGATCTGATGTTGATCTTGTATATGTTGATTCTGTTTATTTTAAAAAAGAAGGAAAAAGAAAATTCGATTAGTTTGGCATAAAAAGCAAAGAAAATGAATTTACATTTTATTGTTCCGAAATATCACAAAATGCCCACAAAATATGTGAAAAGAAATGTCTGTTATATAAAACCCGAATTTGTTATGACCCAGAAAAATTGAGACGCTTATATTCATAGAACCCATCGTAAATATAGTCGTCCTTGATTCTATCTGTTTGCATGCAAAGCATTCAAATCCACTTGATGTTTTCATGGTTCCGTGAATGTTCAATAGAAAAATGGTAACAAAAACCCAATAATAGAAGCGGTTCTGTTGCTATTGCCATTGCCGGTTTTTTTTTGCGTATCGAAATGAAAGTGAGACGAACTGGTGACATATTGAAACGCTCTTCCATGCAAGAGCACAGAGACATACTGTACCCATACACACACACACTCCATCGGTGGCAAAAATTCACTTTGTACTTCATCGTCTATATTCCGAATTGGTTGCCGATCCCTTTCAATATCAAACATTGCACATTTATATAATAAGCCGTAACACATTACGTACACAAACATTTACGAATAACAACAAGCACCAGCAATGGCACTCTCACAAAACTGCAATGGAACAACACACAGAAATGATGCAAGCGAGAAAAAAAAGAGCGCATGGAGTGAGAGAGCATACCGAGAGTGCTCTGTTTGTGTTCGGTAGTTTTTTTCCACAGTCACTTTTCATCGTCATCATATGATCGGAAAGAGTAAATGCCGTACTAATAGTACAATAATAATGATATCTGCCGGCAACAGCAACAAAAAAACACCGCCAACAACAACAACAGCTTCATGAATGAGTACGGCAACAACAATATCAGTGAGTATGGCGCAAAACTTCCAAATACCAAAATCAACATTTGCTACATAGAACACGGAAAGTTCTCTTCGCTTCAAAACAATTGCCATGAATAACATACAGAGAGAAAGCGAGAGTGCGTAGTTTCGAAGAATGAATACGGAAGATGAAAAAAACCATACATATAGAGAGTGAGTGTGAGAGAGAGTGGCACCAAAATAATAATAATACCAACAATATATATAAAGCGAAGCAGAAAACCCGATGATCCTTTGTGTGAGAAAAAGAACAGTTTTGCTTTTGTGCACGCTTTACACAAAGTAAATGTGAAACGGAAAAAACTGAACCTGAAGCCGGCAACCGGCGGCAACAACAACAAACAGCAACTATAACAACTCAATTGCACAAATTTTATACATACAATATGAATGAATACTCTTTTTCTGACAGTAAGTCTGGCGCTTACCATGTACGCTCGTTGTTTTTTTTCTCACTTCATTCAGTGGGTTGTTGTTGTTATTGCCATCGCTTCGCATTGGTTTTGTGTTTATTCAGAATTTGTATAATATAAAACATATTATGTGTATTCAATGCACAATGTGGGAAAAATAAGTGTAACATCGACCGAGCGACCGCCCGACCGAACGAAAGTGTGAGCAAGTGAGATAGGAGGCAAAACATCAACAGCAACAACAGCAACAAAAATGAATCATCAGCAATGCCGGCTACAATAAACTCCAAATACAAAAATGAGAGAGCGTAAAAAAAGCGGTGAACATCGTGTAAACATTGTCAATGTTACATTGAATCATCGACACACAAAAAGGCGAAAAAGCATAAAGAAAAAAAAATATACACACCGAAGTGCCGGGCCAACAAATAAACTTAAGAGTAGAAAAAAGAGAGATACACCGTGATGGAACGTATCGCATATAATATAAAAGTATGGCGAATGCCTTGACTCAATAACTCAACATCATTGCATACATATCTTCTGTGCCATGATATGGTTGTTGTTGCTGTTTGTGCTGCTTTGTGACGATGATGCTTCCGAATGTACACGGAACAAATGGAAATGGTTTGGCTTCAATATGAATAGCAGCAAACAGCACACACAAAAAAAAAGTAAAATGTGGAAAGAACAAATAAAAACCGGCACACAAAACACATTCGCCAGTCAAACGTAACGTGGAACACACAAAGCGAGCGAAAAAGACTCAGACTATCCGAATACACACAATCATCTATATTATTATGGGATGCCTTAGTTGTTGCTTGCTGCTTGCGCTCGTTCCATAAGTACGTTTCATATTATTTTTCATTAGCATGCGATTTGTTATATTCGGTTCAAGTTGGAAGTGTACCCTTGGTATGTTGGTGTATGGTAAAGTGTCTTTATGTGAGGCGAAAAAAAAGCAGCACACACAGAGAGCGAAGAAAACCGAACCGGCTAAAATGCTTTAATGCTTAGCATTGAAAATATATACACATTATATTGAAAAAGAGAGCTCACGGAATGCCATGGATTCATTCATACATTCGTTTAGTTCATTCATTCACTTGTTCAGTTGTATGGTCGCCTTTTGACGATGACGACGACGACGATGATGACTATGTATGGGCGAAAGAACATCTTGTCTGAACAAAGTGTTCAAAAGAATGGATGAGCATTAGATGATATTATTACATAATAATGAAGCATCTGAATTTGATGTCGTCTATATATTTTACGCGCGCACAGCCACTTCCCATAGTGTATAATCGCTGATTTGTTTTTTTTTTCTTTTTTCTTTTTCTGCTTTGATTATATTTGTATTCCGTTTTGCTGCAGAGAATTGTAATGAAAGGAATATAAAAAAAAGTGAACAGCATACGCAGCAAAACCAAGAGACTAGACGTCTTATAATCAAGCCATACGATATAGAGACTACGACAACATTGGCAAATGAGAATCAACTCACTTTTATATGCTACTCTTTTTTTTGCTGCTCCATTCACAGACAAAATCATAAATAGACTTGTGCCATTATGAGAAGAGTGCGGATTGTTACAGTTGAGATCTCTCTTTACCGGTGTTAAGTGTATAAAAGAAAAGTGAAGCCGTACAAGAGTTATAAATAGGGCTTATTTACCGTAAATCAATGGAATTCACATACAACTTTTATTCATTTACAATTATTGTTTGTACGTTTACAGCAATATGGTCTAGATATGAATTGCGTGAAACGTTTAAGAAACGTGTTGATTTATCAAAATAAAGTGGAAAAAAATCGCCTTCCAAGGAAATGTCTTGATCATCAAACTCGCCCATGGCTCGCGTAATAGGGTTAGTAATTCTCTCAATTGTAGAACAGTTTCGTGAGAAAAAAAAAACGCTTTCGCTGTAAAAACATCGGTTTGAGCTGAAATCGATTGTTTGTACAGGAAAATTCAAGTGAAAACCCGGTAAAAAGCCAAGAGAGTGAGAAGGACAAAGGACAAAGAAAAGAAGGAAAAAACCCAACGGTACCGAGTCTACTTTTCTCGTAAAACCGTCATCATCCGAATGTATTTAAGCGTTTCACTTTTTTCCTCATTTAATAAAAGAGAAGTCTTTGTGTAATAACAATTGTTGTTGCTTTTTTCCCTTCGTCTCGGCGCTTGCCGTCACAATTTTTTTTTTCGTATACTTTTTCTGACTGTATATATACCGACGTTTTTTTTAAATATTTGTGTGCCGGTGCTTTCATGCAATTTTTTCTATGTGTTTACAAATTCTTTTCTAGCATAAATTTTATGAATACACAGTAGCTTTACAACTGTTGGAGTTGTTATTTTGGTTTTACTGGCGTTTCTTTGTAACTCATGTGCTCGATGGGTATGTTGTCGCTTGTGTGCGCACGCTTTTCTTTCTATCTCAAGCAAGAGCGATTGAGAGTGAGAGAGAGCATACCTCTTTGCCGGCACTTTTTTTTCCAAATGGATTTTTGCCGTTTGTGTTGTTATTCTGTTAATTATATAGCACCGAAAGTCGTTGGCTATGCATGTTTTGATTTTGTATATCAATTCGAACGAAGAAATAAAAAACAGCATTATATATTCATTTTATTTATATAGATATGGTCACATCATGCCGGATTCGTTTTTCGTATTTGTGTGTTGAGCTTACACTTTTATTATGTTTTTATATTTATATCGTTTTTTTGGCGTGTTTGGGGCACCGGGAAAAAAAACACACGAAGAAAAACGAAAATTCAATGTCGTTGTAAAAATGGTACGTTGTGTGGCAGTCGATTCTTTTTTTTTGCTCGTGTCTTTTTATTTTGTTGACGTTTGAATGAGAAAAGAACACGTTGCATGATCAGATGATTTTTGTATATAATTCTGTTCACTTCTTTCGATTTCATTCAAGTGGGAAAATTGCATGACACTTTTTTTCTCCATTTGGCTTTTGTGTGTGTGTGTTTTATATTTATTTAAAAGAAATCCACAGGTGCTATTGCAATGTTGCTGTGCCGATCGATCTGTTCACTGATCCAAATGAAGCAAAAGCGGACAAACACAAAGAAAGATAACGAGACGTCAATCAATATGTTGAATTGGCGTCGCCATTATTGGCGACATTGATTTCACTGACCAATGCACTCGTTTATTTCTCTCTTGTTGTCTTCGATGTGTTTAACATTGTTGACAGAAACAGAAGAAGAAAATCAGCGACGTAATTTTATCGATTGAACAGCCTTGATTAAAATGTCAGCACATATACACGTACAGGAACCGACAGAGAGATGATGACAAAAGACGAAATGTTGCGTGAACCAATTCGGAATTGGATGACAAAAGTCAAAACAAATGGAACCGAGAAAAGTCAGAAACAGTGGCACATGGAAAATATGAATCAAAACTTCATAAGTTCAAAATATATAATGAACGCAAAAAAAGAAAGAAATAAAGATAACAAATCAATTCTAAATAATAATGACCCATGGATTCTTTGGTTTGTGACAAAAAAGGCGTCCATTTTGTGTACTGTGTTCGTGTGTGTCACACGTCGTTACGCTCTCTGGCAAATGACACATCCAGATTGTTACAAAAGCCATAATCAAAAGTAATTTTCATTTGCTGTGCAGATATGAGACAGAGCCAAGACGACGGTGTGCCATATCGGTACA